CTCGTCACGAGGACACGATCCACAACGCGCGCAAGCAAAAGGTGCGATGTGCACTGTGCGTCGAGGAGAAGACGTTCTCGCGCAACGATGCATTGACAAGGCATATGCGTGTAGTGCACCCCGAGGTTGATTTTCCTGGCAAGCATCGCAGACGCGGCGGCAACCATGACTGAGCGAGCGGGCTTTGACGAGGTGCGCGGAACTGACCGAAGACCTCGGAGACCGTGCCCTTGCAGCTCCAGGCCTGCACATTTCAGAACAGCCGGGACCGTTGGCCTGCATGCAGCCCACGCACCCCCAACACGGCCAACGTGACGCACAGAATCTTCGATGGGCATCTCGACTGCGAAGATTGTGTGGTGGCCGCAGACATCGCTTCACTCGACAATGCGCACAGACACGCCGGTCGTTCCGGAGCGACGGAGTCGAGCTATACGCTTATTTGCATCGTGCCTATGTTCGTACTGTACAATACACAGGTTCTAGCTGGCCACGACTGAGACAGCGATGCTCCGATGGAAGCCGGCGTTGCAGGGCATTCAGTTGTCGCTGGACGGAACTGAAGCATCTGACGATGCAACTTTGAACATTCGACTGTACAGTATTCTATTTTGTCCTTTTTTGGGTTTGGGATTGAAAGTTATGGGCATGAGATTTACAGCGGCCACTGAGCGGGCGCATGGGATGATGAAACGATATGTAAAAGCCATGGCTTCTGTATACGACAACCAAAAAAGGGGCGAGTTTGTAGACAGCATTGTTTGCTCTATTGGAACGCTGGTTATGTGGAGTTATTAGACTTTGTATTTTCTTTCTTATTTGCTTGATCTGCTCTTCGGTGAGCACTTTTAATATGTACAATACTTTTCGAGTCCACAAATTGGTTCCTTATTGCCTGTGAATACTGCTTCACATTCTTACTGCGTGCTTGGAGCTGTCGCGTCTTGGTCCACGGTATCAAGGCTCCATTTGTCATTGTGCCATTGTGCTATTGCCAGCAGCCATCGATTCTACCAGGTGTATGCAACCAGCGACGCCAGCTTCGACGCCGAACATGATCTCAGCCAACGAGTATGCAGTAAACCACATAGACTAAATTAGCACAAGTTCATCATGTTAGGCTGATATCCAGTAACACTCGATGCCTTGGCATTTAGCTTCATCACTTCAGCTCCCTAGGATCTCTGCATGATCAAACATTTCCGCGGATACCCAACTTTTCCCCCCTTTCAAAAGAGAAAAAAACAAAGTATTCATCTAGACCAACGCTACTGCAGCACCATGCACCCCCAACTCTATAATCCCAGCCTACCATGGTTACGGAACCACACACGCATGGTGCGACGTGAGCTGAGCTCTGCGCTCCATGCGTCTTGCAGGGAAGAAAGACAGAAAAAAACAAACGTAAGGGCGAGATGCGATACAGAGTGAGAATGAGAGCGATCTGGGCCCCGCCAGTGCCGGATGCCAGTGCCGACGGCTGGCTTGCGTGCGTGGGTTGGGAGAAAAGGACCACGCATGCGCTAGCGGGGTAGTAGTAGGGCAAAGCACAGCCTCTCTCTTACTTTTTTTCCTTGCACCCTGTTCTTCTCTGCGTGTCTTACACACGTACCACATGCTCCCTTGATGCAGTGCGACACCCAGGATAATAGAGTTTTTCTTCCTCATCGTTCTTCTCTCAGCGTTCTAGAAGGTCTATGCATGCAGCGTGGATTATAATAATGTATTTTCTTTAGCCACATGGGGAGAGAACGGGGAGATGGTGTATCCTCCTCCTCTTCGAATTTGCCAATCTTCGATTCGGGGATCTAGAAGGTCTGCTACTCTGGAGGAGGTGTTCGCGGATAAAGATTTTAGAGCCACAGTGTGAGTTTAGTCTACCATATTCCCAAAGTAGCATGTTTTTTTTTCAGCGGACGAAAATGCTCGGGTTGAGACGAGAAAAAGGTAACGTAGCTGGGCAGACATGCAGGATACGCGTAACGAGATTCTTAGATAGCAATAGAGTGTTCCTAACAGCCATACCCCACCCCACCCACTTACTCTTCCCATCCCCGTCTTTCGTAATCGTTCGCTGCAAATATCGGCATCATAGACGTGCTGTAGACCGTTTCATAGTTGTGTTTTTTTGCGCCCCGCTCCGCTGTGCTACCGGTAAATCGACTTGGATGGGTACATGAGGCGAAGTCTCCACATGGTGCCGCACACATACACATACGTTTACCTATTCCCCTCTTACTCGGCCGTTGGGTGCACCGCGTATGCACATGTTTCGTCTGCTCGGGGAGTTGTCGCGCCGCTATGGCTCCGTACTTGCCTTCCTTGTTCATGGGCATGGGTGGGTGGGCACGCGACTAGTTCACACGCATACGCACACCTAGTACGTTAGTATCGGCGCCGCGGGTGTGTGTAGGCGAGTGGGTATGGCTGACGGGAGATTGATCGGGGATGCGGAGACACAAGAGAGAAAAATGTCTTGGTTGCGCGCGAGTTGCTGAGTTGAGAGGTGCTATGTGGGCTGCGTTGCGTCATGTAGGGCTGAAGGATGCGAAGGGTTCAACGATGGGGGATTTTTTGTGGGTAGGCAGCTGGGGTTCGTTCATGGAGTAGGGAAACGCAAACGCGGTGATATTGTGGGTCTTCATATCCTTAGAGTAATACGTACAGTGCATTATACAGACATACGTACTACTATCTATCAGAAACGCCATTTTAGGACAATTGTGCGATGGCAGGCTACATCGAGTGTGACACCTGGCTGGGATTCGCATCACCGATCCATGAAGACTTTGTAACTGCGGAAGAATTCGGTATCGTCGTATTGCTTACCTTGTTACAGCATTTAATACACGAAACCCTTCGTACGCGTCAGTCGACTATCGAAATATATTAGTATGCACACATGCAGCATGGTGATTCGTCACCTACCCAATCTTGGCTGCACCCACGGCCTATCTTCCATACTTACTATATCGACCTAAGACTTTTCCAATACCAAGCCAAACTCGTCTAATCTCCCACCAAAAACCAAGAAAAAAACCGAAACATACATTTTTACTCACTCGTCAGATTATAGTACACTGTGCGGTCCTTCTAGTATCCGGGTTGTGTGTACTTACATTTGTCTCAAACCCGATTCACCCGACCATGCACTAGGCCACACCCTCTCGTTCCGCGGGCTCCCACACCACCGGTACTCTTTTTTTTACTCATACTGCCCCCGTCGGAAAGGAAAATCTCGATTTAAGGTTGAGAGCGCGATGCACGGGGCTTTTGCAAATGCGTGCGGGTTATAGAGGGGGGATGCGGGTTACGTTACGTTAGAAGTACGTTACCTCGGTGTAATGCGTGCTTGGCGGTTGGGTTTTGATGGATGGAAAGATCCGAGGAGGGAATCAGCCGTGGGTGGAAGCATCCGTGGAAACGCCCGTGGAAACGCCCGTGGAAATCATGACCCATGCACATGCGAGGGATGAGTCGTGATGCGGTTTATGTGGGTGCGAGGGTGATTCATACTTACTGCAGGTTAGCACGTACGACGGAGCATACAGGGGTCTCAACTAGGTGTATCAAGTATATTCTGCAGCCAGCTCGGAATATACTAGATCAAATTTATTAGCGCTTTACTGCTAGAAGAAGATGGGAAAAGCCTATCTCATTTCTCTTATCACAGCACTTTCTTGCTTATTCTAGTTAGGTCTATAGCTACGTGTGCGTGAAAGGGTTTAAAAGCATGAGAAAATGATTTTGAAGAATAAAGGGCTCCTTAATAGAAATAAAAATAGAGTTAGGGAAAAAAATCAAGTAGTTGCGGTTAAGAATAGCTATGGAATAGTATGATGCAGCAAGGACATTTTTTGTAGAAGAAACTGACGAATCCAGCATTTGTTACTTCAACTAGAATCCCTGTATGTTCCCTCATATATGATAACCTGCAGCTTGTACATATTGTACTACTACATGCACAGGCGGCTGCGGGGAGCGGGACTTTCGGGTGGATCACTCGGGACGTGTACCTCGGGAGCGGGAGTGTGTGCGTAGTTAGCGCTGATGCTATATTGTAAAATAATTAATAAAGATTAGAGGCAAAGCTTTTAGATTTCTATGTCTTCATCTTGTAGGTATTTGAAGATATCTAGGTTTGTGGCCAAGTGTACAGGACAGGATGTATAAGGTGACCTTGCTTCTCGCCTGACCCTGGCTCGAACTACTTTTGATACTCTGAGGAACTAGCATGACGGTGCGATTAGGTATTCGTACATATTGAGATGCGAAACATGAAAAATTGGCGGTTATACACACGAAAAGATAGATGGTTGTACACTCACCTCTCCCCACACTGATATTTCAGCAAAACATTCATATGTTGTTTTGCGAATTAGAGTTTGCCAAATCAAAATACATTGTTATGCACAACTTTCCTGTAGAAACGCTTATCTCAAGGCAGTACCATGACACCACTGGATACCCGTTTGGACACCCGCCTGGAAATCCAACTGATGCCACAAGGTCATCCATGCTCTTCCAAAAAGCTTCTTGGACTTGATGCGTTTAAATGGACACCTCAATTGCCATGTTGGATGTCTGTTCTCAGCTGACTTTTACCATTTTACACTGTAAAGCTCAGGGGTTGTCTTTAACGATTACGTTTCGTGAAACTTTGCCAATAAGCAATTAGTAATCACAGTCTGCAATCTCATCGAATCAGAGCGAGGCTTCTGTTTGCAATACAAAGATAGGAAGCGTGCATGCAGTATACTTGTTCATATTGAGATCTTGCTTTGGCGTGCCTTCCTGAAGTTCTAGTAACAGTGGCTCTATTTACACGCGGATCCTTTTACACTACATATCTACTCACATCGTGTGCTTTTACCGTTAAGTCAGCAGTAGTTGTATCAGTCACTTTGCCAAGTGACAACCCCGCGCGGAGACGTTAAGAAGAATTTCCACAGCAGGTCAGGAACGACTGCACTTACACCAGAACATCCACAAAGACCACCATGGTCACTAGCACCAAGTACCCTGGCTTGGAAGTTGCTGTTCATGTTGATGATCGGCCATTACAGGAGTACGATGATGGCGACGAGAATCCCCCGCCAAACACCGTTACAAAATACGTCGAAGCTAAATCAGGGCTGAGTTTGCCGTGACAACCACCTTCAAGCCGCCCTTCTATCCACCTCATGGCGTCATGATAAGTCTTATTATCGACGGTAGTCCGGTGACTTCCCGGTGTTGTCGACAGGACGAGCTATTTGGTCGCGTATTTAAAATGCATGCTCTTCATCAGAAGATTCATGGAGATTGGGTGACGCAGAAGCTTCATTAAAGAAATAGGGTCGGATGGGTACTGGGAAAGAAATGTTGAACTCACACCACTGAATGAAATTCCAGAGAAAGCGTTGAAAGGAAATGCGTTCTCACACCAAGCCGCGTACGTATGGTAATCTGACAACAGTTATATAGAAAGCTAACCAGACGCAAAGTTTGGCCGCCCCAGAAAGGTCTCAGAGCCAATCCGGACAGAAGCTCAGAGTGTATAGTCTCGCAGAGAAAGAGCCATTCGCAGTATTTCATTTCAAATACAGATCTCTTGGTTAGTACAGTCCATTTCAATAGATACATGTACTGACAAACACGCCTCAAGCGAGCCTTGAGGCCCTTTGAATTGTGCCCAGAGATGAGCCCATAACGGTTCCGCTAGAGGACAGACCAGAAGAAGAGCTTACTCCCGACGAGCTGAGAGAGCTAGTTCGCCGCATGAGACAAGTATGTATGCTGGAATTTCTGCGAATAAACTTGCTGAGCTAGTGATAGCGAGAAGCGCAAAGCAATCTCATCAAGAGAGAGACAACAAACAAAGGTCCCATCAAGCATGAACAGGTTGACGATGGTCAGGCCACTGCAGCTGGATCACGCACCTAAAAGCGTCCACGAGTTGATCAAGAAGTCATCACGATTGATTAGTGCGCTTCTGGGCGTCTCGACCTCTATCATGATTGCCCTGCTGCACAGAGTTTTGAACACGAAGATCCACGCGTAAAAGATGCTAAAATGACAATATTCCCACCAACATGCGTTTGAATGCGGAGTCTGTTGAGCTGACCAGTTGTGTGTATAACCCAATGGACTGTAAAGCCAGCTGTACGGAACATTGGTGCATACAGCGACAAAAACACTCTTCAATAGGGCATATCTAAATGCAATTACTGATTTGGATTTGTGAGTAGAGAATGGTGATGATGGCATTCCAGTGATCGTATTTCAGAGATTTACAAAATAATGCGGATATCATCTTCTCAAGTGTCATAGGATAGCACAACATATGGTTGTTTAATATTACGGTTTCTTCGTATCCGCTCTTTTCCCCTATCTCATTGTCTCTTCCCCCACGTGATCTTCAGCCTCAGACTAAATATGGTGATGCTTCTTTGCTGTTCCAACTGAAGGCTCACCTTCTCATGGAGAAAAGATAAGACTCACTGTCTGAGAAATTATTGAGTTAAGTGAAGATGAGAAAATTGTAGTAATGTCATCTTACAACAAGGATCAAATAAATTTTAGTTACTATGACCAAGCTGGATGGCGAGATAGTTTAATATGGATTTAAAATCATATTTAAGAATCAGAGAAGATGACTATTCCGAAAAGCTTTACTCCCATATACCAAATACCTCGCACCCCACGTTCATCTCACCTTCTACCACCGCGGCGCCGTCGCAGTAGGCGAAGCATACGTCTCACTCCACGTAGCCGTATACTTTGAACTCCCCACAATAGTCTGACTCTTCGCATCCACATACGTCGCGCTCGTCACCACGCTATTCGTCCCAATCCACGTGCTCCACGGCGTGGCCGTCGAAACACCCTTGATGGGGCCCAACGCAACGGCAGTTGTTTCTGGCCACGCACCAGACCATACCGCCGGGCCTGGGATAACGTAGTCGGTGGGACAGGGGGCGGCGGACCTTGTTGGTTTCTTTGTTTCAGTCGAGCAATAGATCTAATCCGTATATCAGCACACACGACCATTACCCCAACACGTCTAGTAGATGAAGAAGAGGAAAGACGAACATTATGCACAACCCCCGGATCCTCATACGAATACGCCCCAGGAAACCCGACTCCCTCGGGCAACTCGACCTCGCCACCCCCCACAACCTCAATCTGCACACAATCCGGATAGAACTGCGCTCCTCTCCGCGGATTCTGTGCAAAGCTCACGTCGCCCTCATGCAGGCCGATCATCTCAGCGCGGATTAGGTACGGTCCTGCTTTCAGGCCCGCGGGTATGCGCACATTCATGCGTCCGTAGTTCGCGCGGATGTCGGCTGTGGTACTCCATTTACCTGCTTGCGGGAAGGGATTGCTTTCGATTTTACCGGCGTGCCAGAGTTTGACGAAGGACGTGTTTGTTGGTGGGTCTGGCGAGATGTAGATGAGTGAGGGACCGTGGTGCGAGTATGCGATTACTTCGTCGGTGTTGTTGCGTAGCTCGTGGTGCCAGTCGAAAGTCAGGTTATCGCCTGGAGCTACTTTGATGGTGTCGTGGGCTTGGACGTCGCCCATGACGTTGCAGCGCATGTCGATAGAGGAGAGGTCCTTGACGGGGGAGTTATTGTAGCCGCCTTTCCCGTTTTGACCGTTGTATCCAGGTATTCGGACGCCGGTGAAGGTGCCTTGATCGATGCCGTTGACGAAGACGCCCTAGGAGCAGGTTAGTAGAGGAGTGTTTCAGAAGTGTGTTTCAGAGGAGCAGCCCAGTGTACCCAGATGAATGTGTGGGCGCATGCTTGGCTTGCGAGGAGCAAGAGGATGAGGGCGCAGTTATGAGCCATCATGATAGTGAGGACAAGGAAACCTGAAGAGATGGATGAGCACAATTCGAGGTATTTCTGGAGATCCTCATGGTGACATTTATAGCGAAGTGGTTCACTGTGTGTGTATACACATGGGGGCAGATGATGAGGCTAGTGTATTGCGATGCAATATACCCGTTCTGACCCATATTATTAATTTAGTGCGGGTCCCTGATCCATCCACACAGGCTTGTAGGTAGGACATCTTCGACGGGAACATCGGATTCATGCCCGATCCTGCACGACATACGTGCTGAATATAGGTATTCGGTTTGGTGACATGCATATGGGGAGTCGGAGACGCCCCGCGGACACTGTATTGCCATGGTAGTACCCTGTATAGTGGGGTGCAAACTTTACGGTTCTCTTGAGAGCTATTTTAGGGCTCGCCGATTTTCTGATTATATCAGTTGATGAGGTAGAGGGTTAAGTGAAGACATGTGGAGTCGTACGCCACAGCTTTTCACGAAGACATGTACGAATTATCGGGGTTGTACAGACACACGAAACGGTATTGCAGGCAGATGGCATGTCATGAATGAAGTAAATCAAGTCCTTAGAGATGCTGTAAGCGCTTCGCGTCCATTAATCTAGCATTAAACGTACTCATCAGGAAGCCTGTTCGGGTCTCAGTATTGTGAGTAAAACGCCTGCCCTTACCAGCCGTCGGTAGGAATACATAACAATCGGAAAGACAATCAGCCTTTTCTAGTAACTCAAGTAGCCAACACGACAATAAAAAACAATATACATTCACAAGACGACGACGATGGTGAAGTTCGATCCACGTGCCGCAGAGTCCCAGATCGGTGTTTGCACACGCGCGATCTCTAGCCCCCGCGACTTCCCCCGTTGCTGATTGGCTCATGTCGCAACCACCGGCGCTATTTTATCAGGTCCGGCGCTGCTGACTGCACTTGACCTCCCATTTCCCTCACCCCAAGCCTCTTTTATAACCGCGCACTCACATCGCACACCTTGCAAGCAACGCCTCGAGGTGTAAAAGGCCATTCGCTTTCGTTGATCTTCTGCCGCAACTTTTCTGTTTGTTATTTGCTTGGCTTTTTGTCCAATTGTAGCGAGGTAAAATGGCGCGTGGCAACCAGCGTGACAAGGCTAGGGAGAAGAACCTCAAGGAGCAGGCTGGAAAGGTGGGTTTTTCTTTGCCCGAGACTGCTGGGAAGATGGCTAGTGTGGAATTTTCCATGTTGCTGACATTTTGACAGAAATCCAAGAATACGGTATGTTTATTGTGAAGATATACTGAATACACCGCCAAAGAGAGCAGGCGGCTAACGGACAGCCTCTTAGCAATCCGGTACCGAGTTTGCCCGCACAAAGGAGAATGTTGCGGCTATCATGCGCGCTAAGCAGGCTGCTGGTAGGTCCTCCTCCTGCCTGCCACGTGTCTGCTGCTCTATTGCAACGTGTGGATGCAGACGTGGCGTTGTAGAATACCTGTGCTGACATCTAGTATAGCTGAGGCAAAGAAGGCTGAAACTGCCAAGAAATGAGCAGCTGCGGCAACGATTACAGCAGCAACTTAGACAGCCTCAGTCATTGAGCAGCGGAGTTTACGGAAAAGGCATTGGTGGTTTACGAGTTACGGGTGTTAGTGAGTTGCTGGGATACCAAATACACTGATTTTTGATTTTGCAAACATTGTGATGTTACTCATTCCGCTGATCCCATTGTGAAAGCCAGCCATCTCTGCCTTGTTATGTGCTTCAACAACTCTTCAATTCACAAACATCACGATGGCCAAGTCAAAGACAAGGGAACAGAAATAGTGGCGACCACTTGGGTTCAGCTCTAATACTTTAAAAGGTTTTAACAAACGCAAACAAAATCCCTGCCAAAAGTACCCAGCTGGCACCACAGCGCGGCAATACATCGCAGCATGTGGGGAATACGGTATAATGCAAACGCCCTAGCAAATGATAAAATGGTATAAAGAGGCCGGCAAAAAAGAAGAAGAAGAAGAAGGCCCCCAAGCGGAAAGCCTCTTCCCTCGCCGACCTCGTCATAAGAATCTCGCCTCCTTCCCCCCTCTATCTTTCTCCTGACTAGAACATCCAACCCCGACCACCCATTACACCTTATTGCAATTTCGTCTAGACCATCTAAGCAATCATGCCGGCATAGCCGCCAAAGCTGTTGATAGCCGCAGTAGGGGGGAAGGATCCTGCGCCGCACAGGCACTGGCATGAGCAAGCAATACCCTGGCCGTCCATGCCGGATCCAGCAATGACCTGGGCAGGAGGAGGAGGAGAAGCGGCAGGGGGAGCGGGTGGAGGAGGTGCTGCGCCCGTAGGAGCAGCTTCGCCGCCTCCGGCAATGACGCCGACAGTGGAGGGGGCTGCAGCCGCACCAGGGTCGACGATTTGAAGACCGCCTTCTACGAGGTCTGTGCCGTTGGTCTTGATGGCCAGCGTCTTGAAGTCGGCCATTGTCTTGTCGCCAGTCTCAGCGGGGTTGATGGAGAAGACCATGCCCTTGCCGCAGTGGACTCCCATCTTTTGCTTGCAGTAGAACCCTTTTTAGTGTTAGTTGGCTGTTTGCATTGTCGCAAAAAGGTTTTGTTGGGTAGGCTTACAGAGCGGCTCGGTGGTCTCGACGGTCATGTTCCAGGTGACGCCGGGCATACCCTCTGGGTTGGGCATGAAGCCAGAGTCCATTCCTCCCTCCATCTTCTTGCAGGGCTCGGCGAAAGTCGACTGGGTGACGGTGTGGTTCTTCTGCATGAACTCGAAGACGACCATGTCGCCGACGTTGGCCTTGATGGTGTCGGGAGTGTATTCTAGCTTGGGGGCCATGCCCGCCGCAACAGGCTTCATTCCACCAACAACAACCTACCATGTATTAGCATAAGGGGGCTCGAGCTTTTAGTAGTGCGACTGTGCTTACAGTGTGGATTTTCTGGCCAGCTGCGGGCGCAGGAGCAACCTCCATAACCATCATCTCAGCAGAGGCCAAGGCGGCGGCCAAAGGTAGTGCTGTGAAGTACTTCATTATGACTAGTAGATTGAGTATCGTGTGTGTTAAAAAAAACGTTTTGTCGTGAAAAGTGAACGTAAGCCTGCACTGCAAGCACTAGAATGTACGATGAAAAAGGTGAAGGACTGAAAGGGCACTACGAGGGCCGGCTCGGACAGTAAGAAGCAGATGAGGAAAAGAGAAAGAGAAAGTGGAGCACCAGTATTATGAGGCAGATGTCTTGATGTAAGGAGAAAAGCTATCTGCCTGGGGAAGTGTATTCCTTAAATCCACGCATGAAATTGTTGATTCTGAAGGGCTTGCGTGCCGGTCGCATGCCGGGCGAAACACCAACCCCCTGGGCTGGGCAATCCAGTACGAGTAAGGAAACTTGGGTGGGAAAATGGCGAGATTTTGGCGATCCGCCCACGGTTGCGCGTGGGTGCGGGGTTGGGGTGATGCTCGAACCGTTGGAAGAGGCTTGGAGTGCGTCGCGGTGGTGTCGCAGATCTGTCTCGCCTCTCGCTGCACAGCACGCTTTGGGTAATCTAAGAGCCACGAGGCCTATAGCACTAACGACGCAACTACTCATGATGCCTGGACAATGGGGCTGGAAAAGACCAAGCCGCATAAGAGGCGGTGCCAACTAATAGCTCGCGGCCTACTTTCCCGTCCTCTTTGAGGCACAAACTGTTGGTGGTAAGTCGCGCCCAGGGTCATGGCAATGAACATCCTTACGCGCATTGGCTGCATATGCTGGCAATTATCCAGGCCCAAGTCAATCGTTGTGCCACATGGCGAACAGCCACGCAATTTATATGCGCTGCTGTTATTCTTGTGCGGAAGAGTCGTGAGCCGCCTGCTGCTGCTGGCCTGCATGCAAACCGGTGTAGTAACCAGCATAGTACCACGACATCATGATGTTTTTTAGGTTTTCGTCTTTAACTGCAGAACATCATCAGCACACGGCCCGCTGCCCGCTTCCGTCTGTCCACGTTCCTCGGAAACAACGGCTGTCAAAATCAGTAATACGTACCTGCTCCGAGCATCGCTTGGGGCACGGTCTCTGCAAGAGGCTCGGCAGCAGCTGGGGCCGATGCAGCCTCAGCACTTGGCGATTGGGTGTCGTGGGTGTTTTGCTGTTCGGAGTGTCCTGGTTCCTGGTTCTCGTTAGCCAGGACTTAGAACTCGAGTGTTTCACTTGCGACATGTACACGTACCTGTTGCACAAGGCCAGTTTTTTCCGACTGGGCAACGCAGCTTGTCTCTGCATTCGACATATCTGCATCGTCATAAGGCGCGACGCCACTGGCCTCTGCTGCTCCTGACGTTGGCTCTGTTTCCTCTATCAGGTCGCCATAGCCCCTGCTGGCGTTAATCTAATTTCATCTTGACAGGTTTCAGGCAAGCGCCCGGCAAGCACTTACTCTCGCAGTTCTTTGAGTTCCTCTTCCGTGAGCACGTCTTCTAGTCGCTTGCCAGACTGGTGGATGCTATGATACTTCTGTGTCCGCAGGTTAATCAACCTTTTTTTTCCCTGCGCAGCTTGACAGCAGAGGCGGATTCTTACCTTGTACTCGTTGAGCGCGTCATCCCAGGAACTGATGAGGAGGGAGTCGTCCCAAGCATGCTTATCACTCATATCAACGACTGGCGCCATGCTGATGAAGAGCCAGGGCGTGATTTATGAATACAGTCAGGCTGCTTTGTATGTAGAGGCGATGCAAGTTAACTTTAGAGACGCGCAATGAGCAGCGGCAAGATCAACAATTCAAAGTCTATGCGAGTGAGCACTTGTACGAGAATGGTCAAGGGATACGCGAGCGGATGGGCATGTGGTGAGCTGGTCGACTGGCTTGGCGAGGGTCTAACTTAGCGCAACTGCCCTCAAAAAAAGTTACCGCGCCCGAGCTCTTCTCCGAACTTTTGCGCGTAACCACCGTCGCGACCACATATTGTCCGACACAATTGCAGCTGATCACAATGGCCCCCGACGATACAAAGGGAAAGAAGCGCAAGAGTAAGCAATGGCGACTTGTGAAAATAATTTTGTAATTTTGTCGGCTAATATCGCATAGGCGCACCTGAGACAACGCCCAAAGCAAAGAAGGCCAAGAAAACCGACGATGTAGCCGCCAGCGAGCCCAAGCCAACGCGCAAGTCTGCGCGCAAGCAAGCCTCTGACTTCATGGACCTTGATGTAGAGAAGGAAGTTGCGCCTGTTGTCGCTGCTGAGCCCGTCAAGCCTAAGAAGGGCAAGCAGAGCAAAGCCGCCGCTCCCGCAAAGGTACCTGAGCCTACCGCAGAAGTCGCAGAGGTCGCAGAGGTCCAAGAGAAGCCCAAGAAGCAGGCAAAGAAGGCAAAGCCTGCTGTTGTAGAGGAGACTACTGTCACAGAGACTCCCAAGGAGACGACGAAGAAGACGAAGAAGACAAAGGTGGCCGCTGATGTCCCAGCTGTCATAGAGGAGACCACTGTAGTCATCAAACCCAAGAAAACAAAAGGTGGCAAGAAGCAGGAAGCGCCTGAGCCCGAGCCCGAGTCAGAGGTGGACGCCACAGAGCCCGCCGCCGCCTCAGATGACGAAGACGTTGCAGAAGATGACCAGACAGCAGCCCTGCTTGCTGGCTTCAGCGACGACGATTCAGACGATGCTGATGAGGACATTGACTTCAACGAGGACGAAAAGATTCCAAAACTCAGCGCAAAGCAGCGGAAAGCCATTAAGCAGGCCGAGGACGCCCCCAAGTCCAATCAGCCTGGTGTCATTTATGTCGGGTACGAACACTTTACCCCACTCCTTGGTATTCTGCTAACTTTTGAACTAGTCGTGTGCCACGCGGTTTCTATGAACCCCAAATGAAGAAGTACTTTTCTCAGTTTGGAAAAGTCAACCAGTTACGCTTGTCGCGCAACAAAAAGACGGGCGCCTCCAAACACTATGCTTTCGTCGAGTTCCAATCACAAGAGGTAGCTGACATTGTCGCCCGGACCATGAACAACTACCTTCTCTTCGGCCACGTCCTCAAGGCTCACCTTATTCCCACCGATCAAGTACACCCTGATCTTTTCAAGGGTGCCAAACAGCGGTTCAAGGTTGATCCCCGCAACAAGAAGGCTGGTCTTGAGATGGAGCGTGGTGCTGAGCGCTCGCAGTGGGAGAAGCGTGTTGCAAACGAGAACAAGCGGAGAGGTACTAAGGCCAAGGAGCTAAAGGAGATTTTTGACTACGAGTTTGAGGCACCGACACTCAAGACCGTGGACAGCGTCCCTGCGCACACTACTGTAAAGAAGCTCAAGCCTTCGGAGTCCAAGAAGCTTATCACCGATATGCCTACTGAGGAGGCTACTGTTGCCGAGCCAAAGGCCAAGAAGGGCAAGAAGGGAGCAAAGACTGAGGCTGAGACACCAGCAACAGAGGCCGTTGAACCTGCCAAGGTAGTCTCGCCCGCACAAGCAAAGAAGGGCAAGAAGACCACAAAGGCAGCTGTTCCGGAGAAGCCCAATGACGTGGCTGAGGAGCCTGCAGTAGTCGAATCTGCCGCTGACAAGAAGACCAAAAAGGACAAGAAGCGAAAGTCCGACGTTGCACTTGAGACTAACACTACCGTCGAGGAGGCTGTTGCCGAAGCGCCAATCAAGAACAAGAGGGCGAAGAAGGAAAAGGAGAGCAAGCCCGAGACCATTGTCGAGGAAGTCGAGGAGAAGAAGGCTGCTGAAAAGCCCAAGAAAGCTAGCAAGAAGGCAAAGGCTTAAATGTTCATACCCATCGACATGATACATTAGTCTTGGTCTTGAGTTTTCTTGGTCGTTTATCCCGCATGTATGTTTAGGTAACTTCGCCTGGCATGGAAATGATCTACTCTTGTGATTGGTTTTGTGTCTTAGCGTTTGCCGATTTTTCTTCTATTCTTCGACACATGGAGTGAACATTATGAAAAGCAAAGGGTTTTAGCATGGGTAGGATGAGATAGGACATACCGATCAAAATTTTTTCCATCACTGCCAACTTATCTATAACCCTACTCTCATGTCAGCATCACCCTGTAGTCATGCTACGCCCAGAAGGATTGCATAGCGCGATTGTCCCGCCCTCATAGCCCCCATACCGTTAGCCCAGCAATTGAAACGCGACATATTTAACCAAGTCCACAATCCCTCACAAAACGTCCCCCCTCCCGTTTCCCATCTCCCATACTCGCCGCTCAAATCCAATTGCAAACTTCTCCAATGGCGAACGCAGACCCCCGCCTCTCGGCATCCCAAATGCACGACTCCGTCACCTCGCTGCCCCCCTCAACCAGACACATCATCACGCACGATGCACAAGGAAAAAGCATCGTTCATTCCGCTCCGGCATTGCAATATTACGGACTCCCTGGTATGGGTGGCGCAGCTCGCTCGTGTACGTCCCTCCTCCTCTACCATTCCCCCCCCCCCAAAAAAAAGATTACAAACATCAATATCAATAAAAGATCATGTAAATCCTAATGCGAAGAGAAAGACGCAACTCCTTCTACCCCAGCATCCCTTGAAAACGAGGCAGACATAAATGCGTACATCGCCCCCACTGGCCCCCAAAGTTTCACTACCCGCGACATCGTTTCCCCAGGCTCAGGATCGCACTTGATAGTTTGCGAGTTGGCCCCCGGCCAGGCGAGCCAGATGCATCAGACGGTATCTGTAGATTACGTGGTGTGTACGCATGGGCGGTTGAATATGCAGACGGGGAGTGGGGAAGTGATTAAATTGAGGCCTGGTGTAAGTTCTTTTTTCCATTTCCCCCTTTATATATAACTATGTATATATCTAGGATTGAAGCTGATGAGGTACAATATAGGACCACGTTGTTCAAAGGGGAACAATGCATAAATGGATCAATGGGTCGGATACGGAGCCTACGCGATTCATTGCTGTTACGGTGCCGTGCGAGCCGTTTAAGATTCCGGGGACTGACAAGATGCTGCAAGAGGTCCATGTTGAGGGGAGTGAAGCAAAGGATTGGGATGTGAGTCAGTTGTGAAAATATATAACAAATTTTGGATTGATACACCATTGAAGGAGAGCAACACAATGCAGAATAAAAACATCGACAATGAAAGAAGTTAATGGTTTCATTTCTCGCTAACAACAAATTACAAAACTGCTCATCTAAGTCGACTAGCGTCCAGGTTAATGGCTTCTTCGAGAACCATTCCTGGTTTAACCAGTGCCTGATACGGCGAGCTTCATCAGATGGTCCATGAATGTTTGCAAACTGACGTCGTCGGTGAAGATGGTCTGTGCGGTCTGCGCGACACCACCGTAGGTTCCAGTAGTGTGTGTTGTCGAAGGGTTGAGCTTGCTGAGCAGGAAACGGGCTTGCGAGCCACCAGCATCGCACACAATGAAACGGGGAAGTGGGAAACGATCCTGGATGAGCTCCTTGGCGTCCTCCTTGGGCGCTTCCAAGAGCGCTCGGAAGTTCTCGTAGCCCTCTTGCTCGTGGTAACCAGCCTTTCTCCATTCCGCCATAGTCTCGCCGTGGAAAATGAGAATGTGGAAGAAGGTATCGAGCAACAGAACAGTCTCATTTTGAATCGAGCTGGAGTCGAGGAGTACAGGCTGACCGCCTTCATGGTCAAAGCCGTAGCTGTCCAAAGTTGGTTGAATCATGATGAGTGAGTTGCTGACATCCTCGCGGTTCAAGACGTGACGGTAAAAGGCGGTTTCATCAGGAGAGTTGTTGAAGACTTGCAAGAATTGCGAACGACGGAGATGGAACATGAACTGCGGGTATAGCGTGAAGTTCTTTTCGAGCCTAGTATGAAGTTAGCAGTGAATTTGACGGATTTTAGCCTGCCAATATTTGCACTTGACGCGGTGCTACTATCTCGGGGCTAGGGGTTGTATGCATACCTAAATGACGAAGGATCGTCCTTCCGGTACTCAGCAAAGCGAGCGCATAGTCGGATCAACATGCGGTCAACCCATCTCAAGACGTCTGGGCCGTCGTCGACCTCAGCCTTAAAGACTGCTATCCTCGACATGAGTACCGCAGCGGCTTCTTGATCAAAGGATTGGGCAATGGCGGGGTCACCAGAAGGACCACTCAGCGGTCGGGCCACGGTGGTGACTATGGAATGTTAGCGCTCGGAGTTGGCGTCGCAACAGTACTTTAACATACCTCTCAGGTGGTACTGGCCAGCCGAGTGCTGGTAGTGTGTGAGGAACTGAACAAGAGCCTGTTGTTGGCCTGATTGCATCTGGTTTGGTCCCCCCTGACTCGCAATCTCAAAGTAGATACCGTACGAAGACTCGGGATCAATACCGCACATCTTCCATGCGCAAGTGCTTCCAATACCAATCTCGGTCTCACCAACAGCTACGGACTTCTTGTTGAGCGAAACCGCATGACCAATCAGACCGCTAAGTTTCAGCTCCTTTGTGGTAAGGACCTCGAGGTTGGCGTTGAAAGCCATGAGGAGATTGTCATCTGCGTCTTTGTTAAAGACACGCGCAAAGGACTGCTTGTACATGGACGACGTGAAGCTGTCCGTCAGGATCATATGTCCACCTGTCGAGTTGGCAAGACCGCGCATTTCGAGCAGACCAACCTGGTCAAGGCATCCGGCAAAGATATCGACAATATGGCCGTTGTGTGAAACGCGCTTGGCAAGGTTCTCGTAGAACTTGAGGGCTTTCTTGTAGTATTTGATGTTGTCGCGGTCGATGTCGTGGTGCGATCGAATGGGCTCACGGAGCTCGGGTCCAACAACCATACCAGGACCCTCGGTCGCTGGGCCACCACTGAACAGCATGATACGGGAACCCTTGTTCACGAATTGTGTCTCCAAAAGTCCAGCAGCAACACTGAGCGCAACGCCGGTACACCTCAGAGGGCGCTTGTCGTTTGCGACGGGCCAGGGGTCTCGCTGAAGGGCCTCGAGGGCGTTGGTCAATTGGAATTCGCACTGCGACACGGGGAGGATGAAGCGCGCGCCGGCTCCTGCGGGGGGTGCCATGGGAGGTCGACCAGGTTGTTGTGGAACGCCCGGTCGCGCAGCCATCTGGCTGAGGCCAAGCATCTCGTGGACCTGCTTGGAGGAGTAGTCCTTGCTACCGCGGAAGACATAGGACTTGGCGCACTCGGTGTAACCTAGCTCATGAACTTGAGCCTGGAATTGTTAGTTAGTCATACAAATACTAGAGTTGTTCCACTCACCATGGTGCCATATGTGATGAGACCGACGAGAGCGTATGCGGGGAGCAGACTCAAACTCATGATGATTGAGTCCTTGAGAGCCTTCAGACTGTCCTCCTCCTGGCATGTGTCGACGACGAAGAGGAAGATGGGAGGAGTGTCCACAGGCTGAGGGAGACGGTACTCGATGGTGGTGCTGGCTGCGTGCAGCTCTGGGGGTATTTGCTGCTCGGAGATGTCCTTGTAGTGGGGTGGGAGAGAGTTGCGGTTGAGACAGAAGGGACATATCCAGACACGGGCGCGCATGTCAATCTGGCTGTTGGAGCATCAGCCACAGTACATTCTGCATGTGTAGCATTGGGTCTCATCATACCAGAAAGGGTTGAGGACGGCCTTGCATGGTGCTCTGCAGACAACGGGCTGATATTGGAGCAGTGGGGTGTCGGTCTTCTCCTTCAGAGGGGTGTATAGGGCGCCAATGGGGACGACAAGGCGAGATGCTTCCTGTATGAATGTTCAGCATTTGCTTGACATGATTGCGACGGGCGAAGGCAGCGGTCAGCATACCATGCGCGAGCTTGGAAACGTGTTCCAACTGAGGCGGAGGCCATCTCTGTCCTCGATCTCGCTCCACTGGTCCTTGAGCGCCTCAAAGTCGGCCATGATGGATGGTTGCGAGGCGTCTCGGTATGTTGAGACGATTGGTAGGAGGGAGTGTTGTAGTAGGGCAACGTTGGTGCTGGAGGGCAGAACCGAGGGCGCCCACGATAGGTGACGGACTTGGTGGGGCTACGAGAAACGTGCGCCGGGCGAGAGTAGAGCGGTGTAGGGGAGATGGGACGAGGGCAGAGGAGAGAAATATGTTGCTGCCTCTTGACCAAACACACGATATGGCAACGTCTCAACTCAAGAGCTCCCTTGGGTAAGCTACATATGCGTGGGTACTCGAGTTGGCGATGCGGCCAGATGTTCTTGCCCTAGTGCGCCTGTTTGGGCATAGCGCGCGATGACGGCGTTCAAAACCTCTGATTTTCTCGGGCTGGCCTCGCTTCTTCTTTCTCTTCACCACCGCCAGCTTCACAATACTACGTAACGGCAGGCTCCTAGTTCTCCAATGAATGAGCCTGTTTTCGCGCTGTGCGCAGAAGAGACATAGGCCCATGGCTGGGCGCCCGATCTGGAAAACTCGTTCCGAGTATACTGAGAGGTTGGGAATCAGCAGAGGTCACATTTCAATCGTCTTTTCTCTTGTTTGTTTATGTACTCGTCTGGGCGCATATTCCCCGTCATTGTTTTTGCAGCGCGCAAACTCGGTGTCACGTGCCTTGTTCTGCCCGACATGACGTCCGCCCTCCATGGTCGTCAACCCATGTCGGGCGCAATGTCCCAGCTATTTTCGAATCACTTCACTCCACCCTTGCTCTACCCTGTCAACATGCATTGCTGCCTTTCACCTTGCGTTCCAGAATCCAGCATCCTCTTCCGTTGTCACATCCTATTCCTTGCTGCGACTCACGGTTCCGCATGCTGCAAGTATACTTGCCAGCAGCTTTTGTTGTCTACCATCACACGCTTGTTATCGTGACATGGACCTCTCCACACGTACGTACACAGTGATGTCAATTGAAGCTGACGAAGCACCCCCGCAAAGACTGCCTCGTATTGGGAACGTATTTGTTGTCGATCCTGTATCCACTCCATCTACATACGGAATGCCATTGGGTTTCGCGGATTACTAACGGTGGATGCCCTAGGTAGTTGTACTCGGTGTAGCACTCTACTTTTCGCATGATGCTGGCGTCAGCTATTTGCGGCCTGTTCAGTCTCGCTTGCGTTGATATGGAGTGAACTGAGCCAACCCTGTGGCGGATGGCCCTTTGACCGGGAAGGTGGTACCAATGGCTTGTTTGCTGTTAAGCTTTCCTTATCTCTCGCCTCCCACATGCGTCCAATGCTTCAGTCACTCTGCCCAGCCCCTCGTTCAGCATGCCTTCTCTCTATCCGGCCACTGTTACCGCCATCGCCCTGGCTCTCATTCTCGTCTACACAATCTGTTCACTGTCTACGCACGATCCTACATCCATCTTCTTCAACGCGTCTAATGCCTACACCCCGCGATACTCTGCTCTGAGATACCAACAGGCCACGGCGCACATCTCAGCTTACAACTCTACATCAAGCGCCGGTTTGTTAGGAAGCAAGGACTCCAACAAGAAACTATGTATTGGCATACCCTCGGTCGCGCGTCATGGCCCACAATACCTACCTGGTGCCATTGGGTCTCTGTTGGATGGCTTGACAGTGGATGAAAGGAGCGAGATCTACCTCATGGTGTTTATACCGCATTCAGACCCTAAAGCCCACCCAGCTTATGGAGAAACATGGCTACCTAGGCTGACAGACCGTGTACTCACATACGAAGAGCTCGATACAAAGGAAATGGCTCACGTTCGCAAAATGGAAGCTCAAGGTGGTGCTTTCAAAGAGAAGGGACTGTACGATTACTCGTATCTAGTATCGAAATGCGCCCAGCTCAACACGCCTTATATCGCCATTCTCGAAGACGACGTTCTCGCTATGGATGGATGGTACCACCGCACTATCAATGCATTGTTAGATGCTGAGGACCAGTCAATACAACGACATGGGAAGAAATTCTTGTATCTCCGACTATTTTATACGGAGGCTTTTCTGGGTTGGAACTCGGAAGAATGGAAGATATATCTCTTCTACTCGCTCTGCTTCGCTGCCATGCCGGCAGCAGTGGTTTCTTTCTTGCGCATTACGAAAATTCCGCCAAAGCTTCCGCTGCCACCAATCATACACCTGCGGTCATCAGAGGTGCGTAGTGGATACAGCTATCGTCGCCTAGTGGCTACGTTCTACGCCCTCATGGCGGTATTCATACTGCTCTTCTTCGCACTGGGGCGCGTGACTGTTCTACCTCTTCCTACTGGAGTTTACGAAATGCCGCGGTTTGGCTGCTGCAGTCAAGCTTTTGTCTTCCCCAGGCAGAAGGCCCTTGAGCTAGTTTCATATTTTGCGGAAGCGAAGACTGGCTACGTGGATGTTTTGACGGAGCGCTATGCCGACGCGAGAAGTGAGTTGCGGTATGCTATCACGCCGAGCCTATTCCAGCATGTTGGCAAGACGAGCAGTAAGATGGGGTCTCAAGGGCCAATCATCAAGGGAAAGACGTGGAGCTTTGCATTCGAGAAGTACGATGCAGAGAAGTTGAGGCAAGAACACGAGGCTGTGGGAACGTGGAAAGATGTGGTGGACGAAGTACGATAGATCGAGTCTGCAACACTACATACTGTAGCTAGTTAGTGCGTACAATAGTTCAGCCAATACAACACCCTACCGAAATACGTGCCTATTGAAATGATAAAGCTTTTAACTACTACTAAGATACTATTAGAGAGGTGCCGTAGTAGGCTTTCTTCTAGTTTTAAAGACCTTTAATGAGGTTTTTTATCTAATATCTTATTACTATAACTACTACATAAGTTTGATACTACAACTCAGAAAGAGCACTCTCTATCTCGTGACTTAAACTTATACTTCTCTCATCAACATGTTTTGTCATATACCTACTTCAAACCACTATTACAAACTAACAAGTGCTACTAGCCACAACCCATGATACATATATTACCCCATTTCTGCCATCATGATATGCCTCCCAATACCCCATTCCACTAAGAACCTGGCTCGTCCAATTAAAGAAGCGTTCTCGGAGAACTCTAAATACTGTGATGTGACACAGGTAGAGACTAAAAGATATCCGTCCAAGAAATTGCGCTGGCTGGCTTTCGAAGACCGCACAAACTCGTGGTAAAGAGCGTGTAGATCCAATAGTCATGATAGCGCCAATTGTATACAATACACGCATCCTAGTATCTGCGCTCTACCAAGGAAGGCTTTGACAAAAAGTCCAATCGATTGGAAATACAGTACTCGAGTCAATCTTAGATGAAGAAGGAACTGGAAGGCAAATAAGAAAAACTCCTATAACGAACGTACAAATCACCGCACAAGAGGAAGTACGGCTAAACCAGGACCGTTTTATCTTTGGTGTTTGCTGTTCCTCATGCCATACAGCTCCAAATGAGTTTCGACGGAGCAGGGTCAGAGCGTCGAGCTCAGCAAACAGGAAACCGAAAAGAAAAGCAGTATAATGAGGCTGTTCCATCCACAACGACTGCGCTGAGAGTATTCCAATAACCAGGTATTTTGCCGAATGACTTGATGTAGCAAGGGCCAATGAAATCAAATATATATATGTAGATCCTCTGAACTCGGTTGGTATTGTCCAAAAGTGGTTGTTGAGTGTATAGTCCGGCATGAATTCAGGGTTTATGACATCGAGTAGTGAGATAACTAAGCACTTAACGTGACTCATTGGTGATCCCCAAGGCTCTGCGCCGTGACAACCTTGATTCTTATCAAATGCAGGATCAAAGGTGCCGATATAAAACAAGATATGATTTATTATAACCATGGGCAATACTGGATAATAAAGCCATATAGGTCTTCTGAGAATTGAGCTTGTCAGCTTGCAGTAAAAGTTGAGAAGTGGTCGTTCGTTCCGTGCCCTAGTAAGACTTGTCGAAATCGAATAGCCAGATACCACGAAAAAGACAGCAATCATGGCTTGCCCCTGGAATGTAATTCGAAATGGTTGTAAATGATATATCCGTCGGTTTTCTTCTGTCGGTGATGCCCAAAACGACCAAAAGGGCGCTTCTAGGTATTCCGCTGTGAAATGAAGCCAGGTAAAAATCACTGCAGCACAGCCTCGGACGCCATCAAGCCAAGTCTGACGCGCGTGGTCATTAGCTGTGCCAGACATAGTACTTGCAAAGATCCAAAGATGTCGTTAGGAAGACAGATCTTGAATGGATCCGGTCCGATGGAAGTCGACATAGTGCGAGACTAGGAAGATATATGTCATTAGCTTATACAGGCCAGGCTGTATGTTGGCGAGGCATCGTGATCCTTGTCCTCAGCAATCAACATGCTGTACCACAGTAATTAGACAAACCTAGGATACCTTGCCAATTAAGACTCATCGTACTGGTTTGTTTGCGCGATGTAACATACTATTTCAGATCCATAGGTGCCAAACACTAGGGGTGCTTTGCAGCCCTTCGTCTGTTGTCATGCGCGAGTAATACGCACTATCCGAACCGTCCGTACCACCACGCTATAGGGGCTCTATCCGATCCCTGCACAGCCATTCCACCAGCAATCCGGATAGCGTGAAGGTTGTCCTCTCGCTAAAGACTATAGCATGCTGTCAGGTGGTAGCAGCTGAAGCCACGGGACCCAGGCATAGATCGCGTCTCTAGGAGAATGAGATTTGAATACAATCCATCATCATACAATATTACTTACTGTCTTTAATAAACTATCACACTCTGACACTATCTATCCTTATATCCTCATTGCTATAGGTCCTGCTATTGTTGTATTACCCTGCCATCACTAACAGCATGCTCCTCCTCTAATAGCTACCATCGCCGAAGACATCGTCTTGGCGTGATGGCAATCGCATGATCGCCACCGTGCGGTGAGCATTACCTTCTGACGTGGACGCCCGTTGACCTTTAGCCTTCCTATCCCTTGTCAATGAGAGAATTTTTCTTGTTAATTATGACAGAAACTTATAATACACATGCCCTTGACCCTTCTGCCCTGAGGTCTCATATCAGTCGTGTGACAGTGACAGGCGTGCTGAAATTTTAGGTTTTCAAGATATGAACAGATACTGTTTGGTTATTGTTGTGTTATATAGAAGGGTGATCAGTAACTACTCGTTTGACATGTCGCCTTCCAAGGCGGTATCCTCTGTATAGTAAATAGAAGCTATAGCTAGGGATGTCCCGATAAATCCAAGCATCGTTATGTAATACTCGCTCTGCATGAGAAACGCCCTCGCGACGTACTTGCACATCGCAGCTGCGACCAGACCCAGCCAGACACTGGAGGCAAGCTGGGACCCAGAAAGAAAGTCCACCGTCTTTTTCGACTCCGCGTTGGATCCTAACATACCAACATTCCTGAAAGACCCCCAGTTATTGTCAAAGACAGTAACAAAGGACCACAAAGAATACCCTGCTCGAAGAATGAACCAGACTGGTTGAGCAATTAGCTGGATGGCGAACCACGTCAGCTTCCCTTTGTGTCTAATAACGGTATAAGAGGCGCATAAGAGGATCCTGAAGAGAATGTCTCGGACCACAACAAAGTCTGTGCTACCTTCGCCTCCGTTGTAGAGATAGTTGCATACGGTACACATGCAAACGATAGGAACGATTAGGCGCCTCAAGGACGCAAGGAACAGAACAGGACTGTGACGAAAGTATACCAACGGGTAATACAACGACTCCATAATGGTAGCTCTTGACCAACGAAGCTGTTGTCTTGTGTATCCTGCCAAAGTGGTCGGCGCATCTGTGGCTACGATGGCTTGAGCACTGAATGAGATCTTCCAGCCGCTCAGGAGAAGCCTGGTGGTGAGATGACGGTCCTCATTGATAGTCTTTATTCTATTAGTTGTGTACAACATAACAGTTCCATCCAACTTACCGGTCTTATACCGAATACCTGCTGGTCGTACCAATCCAAAAGGATCTCTTCTAGCGCTTCATATCTGAAGAGTGCGCAAGGACCAGGCAGACAGTCAATGGCACCAAAAGCACTGAGCAGTCCGCTCGTGAGATGTATCTCCGACCAATATGTAGCTGCAACTATGTAAGAGATGAAGGCGGCGTTGCTGTTGTGTATTTCCATCTGTGTGCATGAACCACCGAAGGATTCGTCACCTGCAATACCTGAAATAGCGCGACCTAGTGTACCTGGGAAAATCCACGAGTCCGAATCGCTGGACCAGATGAAGGGTATGTTGCGATTTCTGCAGAGTGCCAGGCAAAAGATGAAGTTTGTGAACATGATCTCTTTTTTCGAGTGGTGTGGCTGGTTCAAGCAAATAGGAACAAGTTTGTCTGAGCCTGGGTACAGCACACCATGCTCCTGGAGGATGCTTGAAGCTTGCGTAATGAGCTCTCCAAGGATCCTGCCATGATCCGTAGGAATTTGCGATGGTTCGCGTTGCTGTTGATCGAGTAAGTCTTTAGCAAGAGAGCCAAACGTCCGTGGGAGCTCTATCTTAACCAAGTCATCGCCAAAAACCTGGAAACATACATTGTTAGAACTACTACCGTCATGTTGGTAAGCATTCTGGAGTAACACACCTTCTCTGCAACTTCAATCATGGACAAGTCCTCTGCCTGGTTTCCATCGACCCCTAATACCAGCACTCTCATACAATAGTCGCAGTTCTCTACATAGCTTTTGAGACAGTTGCTATAGATTCCAGGGTCTTCTCTGTAGCCCACAACACTCCCCACACATTCCGTTGACCGAAGGTGGGTATCGGCCTGTTTCTCAATGTCCGGGTCGCTTTGAGGGCTGTTGTTCCTGTATCTTCGAGCCCATTCCTTCCAGATGTTTACTTCCGAGCAAGTGATAAGAACGAGGGATTCTAAAGTCAGGCTGTAGTCCACCATGTGCATCCTCAGTATTGCCAAGATACCCAAGATGAAGGTTAACCTAACAAAAAATAGTGCGACATCTCGGAGAAAAGACCATGCAGAATTCTTTTGCTGATAATTGATCATTTTGAAGATTTATATATATGATAAGGATTGAGAGGTACGTATCGATATCTACGGTTTTATAGTGGTAGTTATATCAACGGGTTACCATGAGTCGTTAGACTTACGCTATTTCCACTATGGCAACACAGTGTGGGACTCGGGTACAAGAAATCTAGAACATAAAAGACGTATCCTGCGAGGGTCAATTGTACAAGAAGACACTAAAAAAGGCCCTTCTCATCGTTATCCGTAGGAGAAACATGGCAAGGCTATAACTTGGAACTCCGGTAAGGATTAGAGGGGTTTCGCTGTGAAAAGGCCGTATTAAAAATATTCAATCCTTAATTAGAAGCATTACCAATCTTGGCATGAGAAGACTAGCGTATATAATCATATGCAAACAGAAACTAGGGAATTAAGGAAAGTCCCTTAAGACTGAATCCTACTGTAAAACTACTTGCTGGTCGCGCCACCACCTGCACCGTCACTGCATTAAGCCAGAGATTGAATTTAAATCGCATTAAACTGCCCATTGCTACTCGACTTAGCACACCTCATCTAAGCTGAAGCCAGCTAAACGTTCATTCCTTATAACACTGAACAAGTAAGAGAACCCCTCCCACTCTACCTAAGATGACGATTTATTCCAAACAGTGTCTTTACCATTGGTGCATTCATCATCGCTTGGAACAAACACTACAAATACAGTGTGGTTGACAGGGTTGCGTGGTATCGCCGCTCTCATCGTCGCCTTCACCCACTTCTTCGAAGGAGAACTCAATGCCGGGTTTCGTGGATACTATGCTAAGCCACCCGAGAACAATCGATATTTTTTTCAAGTTCCCTTGATTCGCATCGTATTTGCTGGACAAGGGATGGTAGCAATATTTTTTGTCATTTCCGCCTACTCAATATCCATCAAACCGATACGTATGCGGGATTATGGACCCAAAGAAGAATTCTTCTCCTATCTATCTTCAGCGACATTTCGAAGGGGCTTCAGACTCTACATACCGACGTTTGCTATGGAAGCGATAGCACATACTGCGGCAATCCTCGGGCTGTACCATTGGCCACCAAAAGATTCTATGGATCGCTCATTGTGGAGAGCAATTGTTTCTCAGGGAAACTATATGCTTGGAGCTTTGAATCCGATAGCGTCTACAAAGGTTGAACCGATGAATGGGCAACTGTGGACTATACCTCTAGAATTCTTTGGCTCCTGTATCGTTTTTTTGACGATCCTCTGCACGGCAAACTTGCGAGCATCATCCAGGCCCATGATTACAGCAATGCTTGCCCTTTTGGGCTTCTGGAACTCGAGCTGGCTACTTTTCACCTATATGTGCGGCTTGACTATATGTGAGGTACGCACAATTCTTGACAATCGCGACGTCTCTTGTCGGAACAGGGAGAAACAGAATACAAAATTCGGTGCATTGAGTCTCGCAAACGGATGGTTGCTTCTGTTTGGCTTATACCTTCTGGGCTTACCGGAACATCCCGAGAGCAATCCTTTCAGTGATGAATATCTATGGCTCAGAAATATCGCTGGTAACGGGTATCAGATAGATGATATCGCTCAGCTCTGGAGAAGTCTAGGGGGGGCCCTGTGTGTTTTTGCGATCAGCAACTCTTCAACTCTCCAGGCCCCGTTTATGACACCCACCGCCCAATATCTCGGGAAAATATCGTTTGGATTATATCTAGTACACCTTATGATATATCAGATGTGGCGAAATCCGGTTTTAAGGTTTTTTGGGTTGTGGGATGGGACAAACTCCGCTGCCACTCAGTGGATTTCATGGAGTGGATCTGGACTGGTCCTAACGCCAGTTGTACTCTTGACCGCCGATGTCCTCACAAAAACTATTGACAATAACTCCATTTACTTCTCAAGATGGGTAGAGAATTTTTTTCAATAAGGATGGACAGGTTGATGCATACATCATAAACAGTAGAATCCATGGCGGAAATTGCTACTTGGGCACCATGCAATGGAGCAGGTATGCTCACTCGAATATGCCATAGCGCCCAATCTGCTCTCAGGTTTTCTGTTAGATACAGTAGTGGGTTTTTGCAAGAACGCATTAATCAGCATCTAGTTCTTGCATGTCAGCATCATTAGAATGGAGAAATACATGGATGTCTCGTGTGTTAGTCCTAAACGAGATTGTCTCGACCTTTTTCTTGCCGTCTTGATTTATTGAATCATGCAATAGCTGCAGAGCATTAGTGGGTCATAATCTATTCTTCTTAATGTAACAAACCGATCATCCTACAGATTAACAATTCAGTAATCTTCTATTCCATGTAAAGTTAATCCAATAATGATGCCGTCTTAGCTAGCTGGGCTATGGCGGTGTAGCTAGGCTAGACGATCTTGGTATACCAACCGGACCGTAGTGTTGCATTCCGGGGTATCCCGGCCATTCCGGCCATGTTTCCCTATAGCTTGTCCCAGCACCGTATTCTATAGCGCGCTCATCATTCTGAATGCCAAATTTTCGGTCTTGCTCGTCCCATCATCGTTGCTTGACAAGCGATGAATCATTCCTTTTACTACAAGGTCGTTGCAAAATGCATTTTTTTTGCCTTGGCTCTTCGGCTCTTACTCCATCAGTACGTGATAGCTGCTCCAAACGTTGGGATCGCGATTATTGATGTTTAATGCAAGAATTTTCCAAGAAGAATCTAATTTCTCGTTATTGGGAGAGAGCCTGGCGCAAGAACACAAGCAATTATACAGTAAGGATTTCCCTACCGGATTACACAGGTCAGAGTTGAGATGATCTTTAAGGTCGATGCAAAACGCCATTCACGGTTGCCCTTACATTCGATGATAATCCTGACGATACGCTTTCGGAGCTGCTGAGGCTCCTAAAAAAGTACAATGCTACTGCAACATTTTTCCCCAATGCGCCCTACCATCTTGACAGATGGGGTCTTGACAAGGACGTACGTGCTATTCATGCCGAGGGCCATCAAATCGGAACTCATACGTATGTGTATTTCACTCGGTAGCTTTTCCAGCCATGTTTTGACTGACAAAATAGATGGGACCACTTGGACATGAAGACCATCGATGATGCTAGAGCACTCGAAGATATTGTACAGTTAGGCCTGCACGTCTAACTAAAGAGATATTAACAATGCGTAGAAAAGGATGAATGATTGGCTACATCACATACTCGGCATCCGGTCTAGTTTCGTACGCCCACCCTATGGGGAGTGTCACAAAAGCTGCCGCGAATCTCTTCGCTCAAATGGATTCACTGCAGTACGGTGGTCTCTAGACGCCTTTGACTGGAAGTATCAGGAACCTGACATGGTAAACTCCAGTCTGGATATTTTGCAGTCTTGGATAGCTACGCAGGATGGGCTTCTAGAAGAACAGCGCGAATGGCCGATTGTTTTAATGCATGCGAGGTTCCAAAACACAGTAACCACCCTAGCGCCAACTCTACTTGAATCTTTAAGTGCGCGCGGCTTTAAATTTGTTTCTGTCGCGGAGTGCTTAGGTTTTTCAAAAGAACAGTGGTATTACTAAGTCTAAGATATAGATATAGAGAAGAAAGAGATAGACTTACTCAACTTATTATAGATGTAGTTGAGTGAATCTTAGTGTTTTAATTCACTTAGGTTTAATGCAAAAGAAAAACATGCGCGTGAGGTCGTTATTAGTTAGTAGTATCCTGTTAATCAAAGCACTGCCTAGCCTCCTTCAAGTTCGAGTGTTGCCTTAATCTATATCTGCTATTCACTCTAGAGGTAGACTGTTGTTATTATTGTTATCTCATTAGAGTCTATCTACAGTCAGGGACTGTGTAAGACTTTGGCTAAAGGCCGTTCTAGCCACAATTTGTTTTAAGAGAAGAGTGTTTTCTGTAGTTAGGTGAATTGTTATACGTACTAAGCACCTACAGTGACGCATAGATCTTAAAACCCCATCTAATTTGCTTGCCTTTTCGTAATCTAATAGCGCACCACTACGATCCGTGATAGTTCTACTACTCGCGACGGTCCTACTACGGCCCGCGATGGTCCTACTACGGCCCGCGATGGTCCTACTACGGCCCGCGGTGGTCCTAACACGACCCGTAACCTTCCTACTATAGCCTAATACTTCTTTTCTAAGCTACTATCTTTTACATTTTATCCCGCTATAGCTCTAACTAAATTAGCGTTAATAAGAACTTAAATTAGAATATCTGTTTAGCGAGTTTAAATGGTGCGCATGCAGAACCTGGGTGCTCTGGGTAGTGTCACGGCGCTAGCTGACATAGCAGCGGACCGGCAGTTTCAAGGTGCAAGAGGCTGGAAATCCCCGGGTGGCTGCTAGGGCCATGGTGCCAGCTAGGTGGCTGGCGCGCGGCCTTCCTGATTGGCTGCCGACAGAATCCGGGTATGGGCCCGAGCGCCCGGATTCTGCAAAACGGCAGCACCACAGCCTAGATAGCTCTTCGAGCTACGTCCTGTTTTCTACTCTATACTACCTATAGTGAGAGCCTGTTGATTAGCTGTAGCAATAGAACCTGTACACGTGCCTATGTTCCCTATTCGTGAGCCCGTACCGTGACAGGTAGCACCTGGATTCTATAGATTAACCGAGATTCCATCGAGGAGCTATCCAAGCGGCGTTTAGCCCGTTATACTACCCTCCATCAGATACATGAGGTGTGTCTAGTCGGCTCGCTGGTCTGGCCAGCTTACTAACTTGATTAATATACTAATTCGTAAGCTACACAATAGAACTATCTATTGTGGATTGTTCAGAATTTTTTATGATGTGTAGTTGCTAATCTTCTAGGCTTGTCGTGACTAACTACTACGTATTTCTAATACTAGAATAGCATTGCGGACCGTATTTAGGCCGAAGCGTTCAAACAAGTGGCAAAGCCTCACCTCCCATGAGATACTCCATGTAACGGGTCGAGTCCTATTAGACTGCGCACGCAACTACAACGCGCCCACCGCGCCAAAAAGGCTGGCACAAGATATCAGAGCATGCTGATATCGTTGCGTAGTTGATACATAAGATGGCCGCCGCCATCTGAACTGTGATGGGCTATCCAGCCCATCACACTCCAAACTAGTCCAGATGCTGGTAAGAGATCGATAATATGAATGTTTGACACTGAGCTTTTATCCTACGCGTAAGTATGAGGTTTTACAGCAAGGAAAACCTTGTCTATTCTTTTTAGTATCTTTTCAACCTGCTTCTTGTCTGTTATTATCATAGTAGATTATTGTGTAAAACTCTATATTATGGCATACAACAAACTATTAACTTTCCTTCTCTATAAGAAGTCGCCTATGATAGTAGAATAGCTGTGAATATACGCCGGTCCGATTAACGGCCTTTCCGGTTGGTGCTTGTCTCGCTTGCTTCATGCTCTGGCTACAGGTGTCGGAAAGGCAGCGGCAGGGCTAGTGATACAGGGTACCTTCGATACTGCATAACTATATAAATCTCAGTGTTGTTCTGCTAAAGTTCATCAATCACAAAATATCTTTTTAAGTCCTTAGTTCTTCGCTCACCAAATTTACGTATAGGATTGAGTCTGTTGTTCACATTCTGATTTATTATGACTGCAGAATCGTATCTCAGGAAGAGTTGCAGATATGACTGATCCTAATTAGACTATGGCTATTTGCAGTCTAGCGATTATCGTCGCAGTCATGTAACACTTTTTCCAGATGCGATTTGATTCTCGCGAGCCACCTGTTTTATATCCCAGATTTCCTTGGATCGGCCATCTTGTTGGCATGCTTGTTCACGGTCCTTTGTATCTCAAGACAATGAGGTAAGTAACCTCATGCTTTTTTTTCAAATAAGACTCTCATCTTCGTCTAGTCAGCGGTGCAAACAACCTATTTTTACAATGCCAATGTTGATCATGCGCACTTATATTGTCACGTCTCCTTCCCTTGCCGCAGCTGTGCAACACGCGCACTCTACCTTGGATTTCAACGCACTGGTCGTTGAGATCATTCCTCGCGTATGCCAGACGAGCTCACAAACGAGAAGATACTCGAGGATGCCAAACCTAAAGGCGGAGGGCGTGTTCCTATGGTGAAAAAATCCCACGAGCATATGAACACGGGGCTTGCACCACACAGGATCGATGACCTGACCAAGCAACAATTAAACCACTTCAGCAATTTTCATAGAAAATATCGAAGACGGTATCGATGTAGACTTGTTCAGGTTCATTACGAGACCCTTGATGGCTGCATCTATGCACGCTTTTTACGGCCCGAGGAACGAAAAAAAGTTTTTGCTGGCGCTGCTTAAGCCATCGAGGGCCGCGAATGTGACGTTGTCAAGAAGAAAAGAGTTTAGGATGGTAAAATGGGTTTTGAAGGCGTAATAAGGATGCATTGTTTGTAAGAAAACAGTAACGTCTAGGATAGGTGAGAGACCAGGATGGGCAGGTGACCGAAAATGCAAAAACTCTATTAACTTTGACTATCATATAACTATTATACTTGATAACTTAACATAACCACGTGCAAAAGCTTTTAAAAGAACATCAAATACAGCTTGCAGCACTAACTATGCAACGCGATGTGACACTTAACATACTACGAGCTGCAGCAATCTATAACGTGTCTAGAAGTACACTAGGGCGAAGACTAAGAGGAGAACTCTCTCGATAAGATTGTACTCTTAAATCAAAAAGGCTCTTTACAACAGAAGATGAGGCGATTATCCACTATTTGCCAGACTTTATTGTCGGCGATTTCTATGGGATCTAACTATAACCCTTTAAAGCTTAATTAAGTTTATTATTTTAGAATAGAGACTTATCTGTAAAGGTTGTCTAGCGTATTAATCTCCTAGGGTCTTGACCTCCTAGATCGCTACAGCGCGTCGCTCTAATTACGGTGGTAAATGGGTAGAGGTGGAGGCATGGTAGGGTTGCCAAGAGCTGGGGAGTGGTAGGGTAGGTAGGGTCAGACCTATGTAATACTCTACCCCTACCCACGGCCCTTGCGACCCTACCTCTACTTCTACCCGCAGCCCATGTGACCACTAATATACCTCTACCATACCTCGTGGTAAGGGGTACCTATTTACTAGTCTAAGTGGGGCTGATAACTTGGTAGTGAAACATGTTAGACGTCATTTCAATAGCGGATGAAGACAGAAGATGGAGGCACCGAATACATTCTAAGGTAGACCTACGTCGCATCGATGTAGAGCCGCGCTAGATTAGTATAGGCCCGTATCGCACCAGTGTAGGACTGCGCTGTTAGAGAACGTGCATAAGTCGTAATATAGATAGATTTAGAAACAATAGGTATAGAGTAGATTAGAGGTAGTGTAGTAGATTAGGTCTCTACCTTAGGATCTAAAAGTACAATAACTTATAAAAAACTCTTAGTAGGAGAGATTAGGAACAGCTATTGAATAGTATGATGTAGGAAAGACAGTTTTGATATAGAAAACTAAGTAATATAGCATTTGTTACTTCGACAGGGACACCTGCATGTTCCATCGTATGTGACAACCTGTTGTAGACCCTTACCATGACCCTGACCCTGTCCGTGTGGTGTTTTGTCTGTGCTTGGACAAAGCTCGTTTTGCCGAATGTTCTGATATTGCGATAGGAGTGGAGACGGAGACAGGGCAGCTGTAATAATGGTCTGAGGACGCACGCGGGCTTCACTGCATTGCAGTGCTGCTCTAGTCGCATTTGGCACTTTTTGATTGGGTCGCACCGAGCTGAAACCGTAGCAGTCAACGAAGCGACGGCTGTGCGAGCGAAGATCCATCGCTAAGACATCAAGCCATCCCTAATTGCAGGCCGTAGAGACCGTGTCTGCCGTATATTCCGTATTGTTGGCTAGCCTTCTCTAGTACCTCGGCTATCGGCCTGCGTAAGGAGCTTACAGATACACAACAATAGAACCCTGAGCCGCGTTGACACGGTTTGTATATCTTGTGCGGTCTCTTCTTCGAGGTTCGCTCGCAACATCAGCTCATATTCACTTGACCTATAGCATACGACCCTTACGTTCCATGGACTTCGAAAGATGGAAAAGCTCGACAACTATATGAAGGAGGTTTTGCGATTCTACTCACCTTTCGTCAGTAAGTATTTTTCTCTTTAGTAACAAAATAAGCTCTAACTAATCAGTAGTGTTTACTTAATTTTCCCCAGCTACTAACTTTCGCTCTTCAGCATCTTTCACTCGCCGCACACTCAAAAGCATAACTCTCAGCAACAGCCAACACATCCCCGCCGGCGTTATGATCGAAATTCCCACGGATGCTGTTTACCAAGACGACTTGTTCTACCCTTTGTCCAGTACCTTTGACGGCTTCCGCGCCTACAAGGCCCGCTCTACTAGTACTAATAAGACTGGAGATATGGCCCGCAACCAATTTGTTACCTCTAATACAGAGAACCTGACTTTTGGCTATGGCGGGTACGCCTGCCCCAGCCGCTTTTTTGCTGCAAACGAGATTAAAATGATTCTAGCCCGTCTTATCCTTGACTATGACATTAAGATGCCTAATAACGAGGCTGAGAGACATCCGCAGATAGATATCGCCAAGATCTCATTGCCAGATCCAACAAAGACACTGGCATTTAAGAGAGTAATAGCTGGATACAGACAAAGTATATAGCATGCATCTCTTCATACTAGAACAACTAGTGTTATAGAATACTATTCTTTCAGCACGTAGATAAGAGGCTGAAAACCCTTGAAAAAATCCAAAAGCTTCTATTATTTTACTTCGCACATATTTTACATACTTGAGCCTGATAGCTAAATGACCTTGGTAATCGCTTTCGGTAGAAATAGGATTATATCGCGGCTGCTATGCGGGTCCATGCGGGGCTGCCAATCGGTGGAGCCTAACTTTCACATGCAGCCGCTAGCTTAGCGAGAGACCCTTCTTTCCCAATCTACCCGCTCTGTGCAAGCGCCTCCAACTACAACTCCGTTTTTTCCTCCACCGTACCCAAAACTTTACACAAAACCACCACAATGCCTATCTCCAAGAAGGACCGAGTAGGCCAATCCCTTGTCATCAACCAAACGAAAATATTCACTAACACCCGCCTGCACAGATCCAACGCGAACACCGCAAAGCCGAAAAGGCAGGCACCCGCGCCCCCGTCAAGGCAAACGGCCTTCCCGTCAAGGCGCCCAAGCCAACCTCCATTGTAGGCATTCCCATGCCTCCTCCTCCTCCTTGAACCTATTCTCTCTCTTCCAAACGTTCCCATACTTCACATAAGTCATTCTTTTGCTGCATAGCCAGCTAACGGGCACGCCCGCGCCCGTGCGGGGAATACTATAGTGCCAGAATTGCCGTCGCGAAATTGTAAATACGAATAAGGCGCAGCTGGAGGCCCATGCGGCGAGTCATGATTCGGTGGCTTGGCCCAAGGAGAAGTGTTGGCCTAATGATTTTTCGTGAGGATGGGGCGGGGTTGGTGGGACGGAGCGAGGTTATGGATATGTGGGGGTGAGCGGGATGCACAGTGGATATACAGAGTGAAGCGAGGGACTCGAAGAAGCTAAGTTGAAATGCAAGATGGGAGAACCGGTACTGAGGGAGGAGTGTTTGAAAGTCGTACTCGTTTGGGCATGCTGACGATCGAGACGACGGTACTTTGTGATACCAGATATATTTGAAATGAAATAATCTATTATATCCCATGTAGCGAAGCAAGTGGTTGTCGTAACGATTTCAAAGCACACCTATATTTTCAAAAGAATTCTGTTTCTCAACTCGAGAAATAATAGATTGGTCAAGTATGATGCTTCCTTCCGCTACGTACATTAGATCTGCCGTTGTGGAAAGACCACTGCTACGGTCCGCCGCACATGTTATTCGTGCCCCCTTGGGTAAGACAATACGGCCAATGACCTCTTAGTTCTTAGTCTTCACCAGACGTCCCCGCTTATTTTGGCGATATGCCTTTGCCAGCATAAGCCCTGCTTCCCTCTTGCCTCATAGTCTTAGCTAGACTTATACAATACATCCATCAGTTTTCGCAACCAAGCGGTATACCCTGGGGTTGTTGGACTGAGAGAACCCCAAACGAACTGGTAGAATTCAAACGCCTTTTCATGCTCACCTCTGAGCTGATAGCTACAGATAAGGCTTCTTGCGCAGTCTAGGGCAACTTTGCTTCCTAACCCTAGTGTGTCTCGGCAGAGCTGCAAGCACCTCAGCTGGAGGTCCAAAACCTTTTGACCGTTTCTATTGTTTTGGTACGTGTGCACGAGATCTTCCACCCAGATTATATGAGCCTGCAACCGCGGATCAAGGCGCTGCAGAATGGCTGCATCTAGTTCTATTGTTTCCTCTAGCATTTCTGAAGCCGTATATGTCCGGTTGATGGCTCTGAGGAGTGTGCGCTGGTCAAAGTGCAGGGGCAGCGATGTGGATAATGTAGTGCGTGCGGCTTCTTTGACAAACATGAGTTCGTTGTGCTTGAGCCTGCTTGATGATAGCGAGTTAGAAGGGCTATAGCCCACTAGCGGGAGATCATGGATGGAATTGACTGCTTGACGATAGGCCAGAGGGCCTCGCGCAGGGCGACGCGGTCAATTGCATTGCAAGGTAGCATGCAGGCAATGTATCTATCCGCTTTCACCAGGTAGTGTTCATTGTCGGTACATCATCTGAGGCGGGCAATGCTTTGTGTCTTGAAGACCGCTCTAAGAACCAGGCGCCGGCGGTTGTTGAATGCGTGGTAAATTGCGGGGTGGGTAAGGATCAAGCGCTTTAGGGATATCAGATCTCGGCATGTGATTAGCAGTTCGTAAAGTATGTCGTGGTGGAGCGTGTGTATATTAAGAGCACACATGATTGATGATAGCAAAGCAAAAGATGTGGTGGTGAGCCAATTGCAGATAACAAGGGGTAAAGAATATATTTGACCTAGGTACTCAAATATAGTGATACGAAGGTTGCCTGACCCAGCTTTGATACGCTATGATAATTTTACGTGAGGCCACTGACCTAGCTTTAGGAAAGACATAGAGATGTCAAATTAGAACAATATGACATAACTTCTTTTATCAAAAGCTCAGTAACAAATGTGGCATCAAGCGAACAGTGCCCGAGTGTACACCAAATTTGCGTAACATATGTCTCTTTTTACCAATGATTACTCATAGATTCCTCTTGAACTGACACCTCCTGTGTCTGTGTGATGACTAGGTCTTCTTCCCTTTTACTATGATGATCAACATGTCGACGGTTGAAGCTAAGAATACTTTCTTGGCTCTCCTGACCTATCGTCGTGTCCAAGATCTCCGTCTTCATGTGTCTTCTGGATGACCGAAACATTTTGCTTCCGATTGTGATCAGCTTCATGGCATGTTGGCCCTGTGATTCGTAACCGGTTCGTCCTCTCTCCCCTCTTGTGCTGCCAAATATGCCGCGACCGAAAATTCGATCAATTAGTGGCTGGAGAGTTGGAATGCATGCGGCGATGATGATTGCATTTCCTTCACTGCTAGTCCATATTGTGATATTGGCAGTATCGTCTATACGATCAGTCAGCATATACTTATAGCTTTGGAACGAACTTTCACTTACAACTGAAGTCGGCGCTGGCAAGTGCAGGTAGCCTAGTCGACTTGTAAACCGCTATGGTTGCAGCTCTATCTCACAAATGAGAATTCATCTTCCCACAAGTGTTTGTAGACCTACATACAGCCTAGTCCGAGCGCAAAGCTGAGAGCGATCTTCCTCTTTACATTCATCTGTAGTCTGTAGAGAATAAAAGCCGGATATATCGTAAAATAAAGATCCAAAATGGCGGATAGAGCTGTAACAATGAGTGGAGTTCCCCATTTCACACGGGTGACGTACTGCCAGCAACAATGGCATATTATACCAAAACCCATGGGTTCCAGCAGGTACCTTTGACTGTAAAGTCCCACTGCGATCGAGTCGGCGTGCACTGCGCGAAGAGGATGACAACACAACCAAGCAAAACTAGCAAGCAACCGCCAGTAATTGACTAAAGAAACACTGCGTGACCTCGGCTGGGGCTCATAATCCTCGCTATGAGCGCTACTATGGCTAGTTTGGGGATTCCGAGTGAGAGTATTCTTGGGCAAAGGCCCGCAATAGTGTACTGTATGGCGTCTTATTTCTGCTCGGTGGTGAGCATAACTAGATGCTGGTCATTGCCGGCCCGTATGGCGACTATCGTTAGGCTAAGCATAACATAGCCACATATTTATTTGATGCGTCAGTATCTTATGTGGCGGGGAGAGCCCTGAAGAAAACACTTGCCATGGATAGAATCATCAGCCAGTCATCTAGGCAATGTGTGATTGGATATTGCCTCTGGTATAGAGTCTTCCAGCCACAAGAATGGTGGCCAGAGTAGTCAGCGCGATGCATACCGCTAAGATCGAAGGCCCCTTGTCTTCGTTGGCGAGATGCTCAGGCAAAGCTTTTGGTACTAACATATCACAGTTAAGCCTTGCAAGGAGACTAAAGGACTGTCATATATTTTTCAAGAAGATGATGGAGTCGCTCTGCAGCAAGCCGATGAACATAGACGTGTCTTATATATTGCTCAAGCAAACAACGATGTTGTAGATCCAGTCTGAGCGTCTCATTCCAGGTTGTTGCATCTTTTCCCAAGAGAAAAGCTGCCGCGTCTTTTGATGGGCATTCTGCTCAACGGAAATATGCTGCAGCGGATCGCTACCGCGCCGCAATCGAAAATGCAAGTCCATGCAAGCAATGCGTGCCAACACCGAATGGTAGAAACATCCCTTTCATAAGACATGCCGGCAAACTCCAAGTGCATATATAAACAGATCGTTTAATTCCTCGTTGCAAATCAGTCCTTTTTGTTCGCTGTTGATGTAAGACGCACGTAATGTAAAGGGGGGCGGAATCCTCCTCGCTTGTTACGGATGATTAAGTACCAAGTTACAACGACGTCGGCATACAAGCTCAGGATGTCTCAATCAGTACATATAGTTTTGTAGTGAAAAAAACACCCCCTAAATCAGTTCATTAGACAGTTTCACTACCTCATGTATGAAGACGCGCTTGAGTTATTCCAGAACACTCTTTCCATGCCGCTGAAGTTGTTCTCAACATCGCGCTAATTGCAACACACCGGACCAGTCGAAATGTTACTGTTTAGCCGCTCTTATGTCTTGCTCGTTTATGAGGCGATGCTTTAGCGCTCCTTCATTCCCGATGCTATGGTTCGTGTTACGGACATCAATCAATCAAGGGTCTGACCGGCTAAGTTCTGTACAGAGACGCTACAAGCCCTTGATTCTGTCGAGTCCTAACAATTCGGGGAGGATCTTACATCATGAAATAGATTGTGTCTGCATAATCATACATGCTTGTATTTCGGGAGATGTTGAAGGTATGGCTAGTGCTGATGTGCCTTGTAGTACACAACGAGTCAAGATCACTTAAGGAGTGTGATGATAAAGTCATGGACGTCCCTTTTGTTCCCTCATATTAGAGAATCATCTGCCTTGTGATCAAGTCAGAGTTCTTTTACCAATCCTATTATTCTGCTCGCTCAGGCACTTCTTCACCAAGCCCATCATTGAAGATGGCCGTACTTGATGGCGGCATTGCCGTGCATGCCAATGATCCAGGAGCCGTTCCCAAGATACTAGAGAAGCTCTTGATGTTTAGAAAATCAACAATTACAGAAGGCAACGACGGCCGCTTGGATATGCTCGCGCTCGCCAGGAGTCTGGTGGTGGCTCTGGAGACTCCTCGGGAAACAATGATCAAACACAACTGGGTTCAGGTATGCGTATCGAGATCCTGGGACTGAACATATCTAAGTTTTCTTGTAGCCGGGCTGTCATACGGCTATTACGGCTTGCTACAATGCAGGTGTATTCAAGTTACTTGCCGAGAAAGATGGGCCAATAAAGGTTGATGAGATTGCGGGCGAGCTAGGAGTTCCTCGCCAAACATTGGGTAAGCGTACAAACTCGCATATTTTCACGAAAAGCTTCTAATATTTACAGCCCGCATGATGAAACACATCGCAGCTATGGGCTATATCAAGGAGATAGGAACTGACGAATACGCACCAACAAACTTCTCCAAAGCGCTAGATATGCCCATCATTGGAGACAGTTATCCTTGCCTGTAAGTGTCGAACACTGACTCAGTGCTACTAAATTTGATTGCAAGACTGACCCGATTAGTGCTGGTGGAGCCCATCCGTCCTGCAGCAAGTTCCCAGAGTACCTCAAGGGAACCAACTACGAACTGACCTCAGATGTCGAATCCGGGCCATATCAATTTGCTTTCAATACGAAAATGAGCATGTTTGAATACATGATTGTTCATCCACCATTGGGCCATCAGTTTAATCATCACATGAGTGGATATCGACAAGGTCGACCAAGTTGGATGGACCGTGACTTTTACCCAGTGAAAGAAAGGCTCGTGAAGGAAATGAACGCATCTAAGGATGCGGTGATGCTGGTAGATGTTGGAGGAGGTCATGGTCATGATATCGAAGAGTTTAGGTACGGTCGTAGGAACCTAATCACAACATGCATACTGACAAGACATCTAGGCTAAAACATACCGATGCGCCTGGTCGGCTCATATTGCAGGACCTTTCCCCTGTCATTGATGGTATCGAGCATCTACATAACGATGTAGAGCGCATGAAATATGATTTTCACACTGAGCAGCCCATAAAAGGTACGTCTGAAAACAAAATATTGCGACTGTGAACATTGACTAACATTAACAGCGGCACGAGCATACTACCTACATTCAGTGCTCCATGACTGGCCTGACGAAGTGTGCAAGAGCATCTTGAAGCAAGTTGCTGGTGCTATGAAGCAAGGATACAGCAAGCTGCTGATCAACGAAATCATCATTCCAGACCAGGGAGCAGACTCTGAGGCCACGGGACTGGACATGATGATGATGACACTTTTCTCTTCCAAGGAGCGCACAATGGAAGAGTGGAAACGACTGTTAGAGTCGCCTGGACTTGATCTGAAGATTGTGAAAGTATGGAGTGTCAAGCACTCACAGGAGAGCTTGATTGAGTGCGAGTTAGCATAAGTGTGCTAGACAGCATATGTACAGGTTGAAAAGAGATCTCAAATCTGCTCCGTTATGATTGTGTTGTTCTTCAGCTTCTTTTCATCTATGGTAGTACCAGCAAACGGTTAAAGCTGTCAGGTCAGTATGTCCCTAGCCCTCCGCGGAACAGTGCTTAGCCCGCATCCTTTATGACGTGAAAGGAAGTGAGACCTTGACACACCAAGAATAACCCAACGCATATGCATATGTGAGATGCTGTATCGGTCCGAAGTTGAGCGTTGATCATGATAGCATCGTCTGATCCCACAAATGATGGTAGCCGGAAACCTGGAGACTGACCCTTTGCCGAGCCTGGTCCAGGCCTATTCCAAATGAAGCATATGCGCGTTTATTGGTGAGCTGATGATACTACTGTTCTACAAGCTTACGATATCTTATTCGCTGCAGTCAACGTTACACGGCGCCGGAGTAGAGACCTGCCCGCCTGCGATAAACTGCCTTTATCTAGTGAAGCCATTGGAGATGTGTTTTTCATAGAGAGCATACCTAGCGCGAAGGCAGCTAAACTATTCACTTACGGCGTGCATATTATATTAGTGTAAAGAATAACACTGTCGCTAGTGTTTTTGTTGGTCGTAGGATCGATGTACATTACTGTGTTACCGCCCATTCCGCTCTTTTTTTTTGACCAGCGCTACCAACTTATCTTTAGCTACCACTTGAACTGAGGCATAATTGAAGCAACCAGGGATGTGATCTCTGGAAGAGCGCATCTATGATACTGATGCTCCTTCTGGAGCTCCACATACAATGGTAGTATCGCGCTGAACACCAAGTCGACAGCAACCATAGGAGTTATGCCCGCTCGGGCAAATTCGTTGACCGGTTGTAGTAGAACAGACGAAGCCAAATATGTGAATGTTCTGGCAGAGATGAGCGAAAACATGAAAAAGTATCAACGGGACTCCCCTCCACCTGTTGAATGGACCTCCAAATTTCCACAGCGCGGATCGGCTATACCCTATTTGGTATAGCCGATCCGCGCGGGGAATCCTGAGTCTGTTCTTATGAGTGTGCTTTGAGTCTGGCAGTGCCATCTCGACTAACAGTACCATATTTGGATTAGCCGATTGCGCTGTGGAATCTTGAGTATCTTTCAGCGGGTATGTTCTGAGCCTGGCAGTACCATATTCGGCCTACTAGCCCATCGCCGCTATGTACTTTTCAACGCAAAGCAGATGCATCACCGGCATTTGAAATCGACTGCCAAAGATGAGCTCAAAGATCCAACAGGTGATATCTTCCCCGCATAGTGCACCGCCAAGTACAGAATGTACCGCCAGTTGCAGACTCATGTTCCAAAGCGTGAGATCTCCCCACATAACGCGCCGTCAGATATAAAATGCACTCGTCCAAACATCAACAAAACATAACGTGGCTGGTGGAAGTGTTCGGCTGGGTGGCATTGGACAACGCAAAAGTCGTAGATGTAAGTTCTCCAGGCCATTTTCTAATCCGCCTCCAGACAGCAACATCTAGCACTCATCTAACATCTTCATAAAAGCCGGTAGAAGCAGCAGATGCACAGTCATCATGCTAGCAAAAGCCCATCCGCATCTCAACATCATCATTCAGGATCTCCCTAGCCCCATCGCAAACGCTCAGACCACCATCACCGCGTTACAGCCCGATATTCGATCCTGCGTTCAAGCCACTGAGTACAACCTTATCCTCCCTCAGCCTAGAAGAAGCGTGGATGTCTACCTTTTGCGTACAACCCTGCATGACTAGGCCAATGCCAATGTCATTCAGATACTAAAGCAGCTTGTAGATGCCATGTCGCTCTCGAGTTACGCAACACGATGGCCATTCAATGCATATGAGATAGGCTCTGTTAGCTGGACCTACAAAATGAGGGTGTTGTATAGCACATGATTCATGAAGCCTTGTTGTCGGCAAGATTTTGTTCCGTGCTCTAGACATCTTGATTCACAATGACTGACAGAAGCATTCTCCATCCATCAGTTGCACTGACGATATGTGTATTTACAGAACTATTGTCTTCCACGGAACCAAGTGAAAAGGTTTGAAGTTGAAAGACATGAAAAGCGTATTATTAGCTAGATAAAAAGCGAATTCACATGCAAACCATTGTACTCTGGATTCAACACGTGTGTGGAGTTCGGAGTATCTACAGGGTCCTAGTGCGGATCATCTACAATAACATTCCCGAGATATTTAATAGTATCTTTAAAATGAGTACTGTATTGATCCTTGAGTCCCTTACGATAGTAGCGGGTGCTAGCCTGAGCTACAAACACATGGGAAACAACACAACTCGACACACCAACTTAACGACTACCCATTTCCATTACTAACGAAACCTATCACAATTCCCATCATGACATCCGTCATTATCTTCGGCCCGACTGGCCAAGTAGGATCTGCTGCCGCACGAACAGCCGAGGACCTTGGAGCCAAAGTCTGGCTAGCAATGCGAGATACATCGAAAAGCATTCCTGGTCTCACTACAGAATCAGAAGCCGCTGGCGACTTCCACCGGATCCAAGCCGACCTGAGAAACCCACGGACCGTCAGCCAGGCCATCAGGACCTCTGCAGCCAAGCGCGCATTTATCTACTTGATCCATCATGAATATGAACACCTCCACGACGCCATCATTGCAATGAAGAATGAAGGCGTCGATTTCATCGTTTTCCTAAGCAGTTTCACAATCTACACCAATCAAGCGTTACGCGCTATCTCTCCATTCGACCTCCTCCCCTTCGTTCACGCCCAAGTCGAAGCAAGCCTAGAAGAACTCCTCGGCCCGGAGAATTACGTCGCTGTTCGCCCCGGATGCTTCGCCACGAACCTACTATCAGCAAAAGATGGCATAGCGACCAATAATGTCAAATTGTATGGCGCCGAGTTCGAACAGGACAACATTGTCCCTAGTGACATCGGTAGCGTCATAGGCAATATTATTGTTTCTGGTTCGAAAGGCCGGAAGATTGTGTATCTTTATGGCCCCGAGGTACTCTCTCTACGGAATAGCATTAGGAAGATCGGCAGCGTTCTCCAGAAAGATCTGAAAATAACGACTCTGAGTCCCGAGGAAGGATATCAGAAGTACGCTAAGTGCGGCATGCCTCCGTCTTTTGCAGAGTACATGGCTAAGACGCTGGGTACCAAAGGTCCGGATAAGGGTAATGGTGAGCGGTTTCCTCACTACGAGGAGGGTGTGAGGAATGTGGCACTTTATACGGGCCGGCCGCCGATGAGGCTTGAGGAGTGGGTGAGGCAGAACAAGGCAGTATTTGGGCCATGATTGGTAGAACTCTGATAGTTGAGATGGAAGAGTTTCTCTCAGTGAGTGATGTGATGAACAATGGAATCTCCCTTACTACAGTTAGTAGCTAGCAGTCACAGCAGTGGGCAACCAGGCCAGCCAGGGTGATAGGTAACTGATGCTGCACTTCTCTTTGGCACTGTTCACGAGCTACTATCTTACTATCTTGTTATCATAGTGAGGCTGTACCATATTTCATTCAGCTAGTAGTCGTCGATGATCTTCTCGCCCCGTGTACCGGTTGCGTTCCAACTCTGGCGCTACATTGGGCGAAAGAACATCACCACTGTTGTATCTCGAGCTCGTTCTGGAGACAGTGCTGGGGTGGTGCGGGAAGATCGCCTTTGTGGATTTTGAGGCTTACTAAAAGGATCAGAATGCTATACACACACTGGCCCGAAAGAACCCAGAATTCCCAGCGCGGATCGGCTAACCCCATAATGGGGTAGCACCAGTCTAGAAAGTCCTACTGCGAGGCTCAGAATACACACACCCGCCAAAGAAAGAATCCTAGGGGTGGATGCATCCTGAGCTTCAAAGCTCACTCATAGTACTGCGAGCGCATTCTGAGCTTGACGCTGCGCTGGCAAACAATAAAAGTACCTTTCAATCCAGAAATCTCTGTACACTCAACACGACACTGCAAACCCCCTAAGGTCTCCAGGGCTAAAAAGAAAACGTGTATTAATATCCTAACAACTTCTTCTTCCTCCACGCTATCAAGCCCAAGCTGCCTAAAACCCAAAAGCATCCAACAAACTATTTGCATCCGGCTCGTTAAACTGCGTAGGTGGCGGTTTCTTCTTTTCCTCCTTCTCTTTTTCTTGCTCAGAATCTCCCTCCTCCTTAAGTGGTGCAGCCTGACTTTCTCCTTTCTTGAACTCTCTGACCGGTAAATCAGCTACAACCAATGAACTGCGACGACGCAGCAGCTTTCTAGGATCAAAATCGAAATCTTCAGCGCTGGAGTTGCGTCCGTGGGTATCGGAGCTCTCGCGTGGCATCGTAGGGCTGAGCAATGGCACACGGTCGCCGGTAGCTTGTGACTTTTTCGTTGATGGCGGCGGAGGGAGTAGGAACTCCCATGTCTTGACCAGATCGAGTGCGAGAACATCACAGCCCATGCGGTCGTACAGCCCAGCCGTGTGCAGCACAAAATCCCATTCCTCGCGCATGCCAATCATGGTGGCGCCACGGAGCGTTTGTAAGCTCTTTTCGCGAAGCTGCTTGTATAGCACTACAAGAGCAGGGTCGTCGGTGAGGTAGGATTTGGCAAGTGGGTCAGGACTCTCAGATGTGTCGATGAGGTCGGAAAGTGGCGTGACGAGCGCACGCACTGCCATGTCCTTGCGGTTGAGTAGCCAATATGCCCAGATTGCAAGCCATCGGTTTCCTTCCCGGGCAGCCTGGGGTAGAATCTTATTCTTGAGGAAATCTAGTAGCACAGGAGACTCATCACCGCCATAGACCCTCGCTACGGCAATAGCAAGCTGCGTATCTCCTAACTGAGTATGCAGCACGTTGACAGCCACGTCGAGGCGATCTGCAAGAAGGAAGAAGGAAGCAGCATATTCAAACCTCCTTCGGCCCATAAGAGCATATGCATTCTTCAGCGCAGCAGTCTTCCAGCGGTCCTCATTAAAATTGTTCGATAATAATCGATGTGTGGCGGCTTGTTCCCTCGACCAAGTTGCCATGCGCCATAGGCCAACCAGAACTGGTTTCTTACGCAGAGCCATGTAGTACAAGGCGCAGTCAACGGGGTTCTTCTCTTCCGTCTTGGTGTACTCATTCCGAGCAATAACCTCGAACTGAGCGCGCAGTGCGTTCGTATCCGACAGCCACATGAACACTCCGCATTCCTTCGCGTGTTGCCACAGCATCTTTCCGCTAAAATGCCTGCTGACGAGGTCCACTAGGATGTCTTGGCTTCCAGAATAAAAGGCCCAGACAATCTCACGCCATGAAATAGGGCCTTTGTGGACCTGGCTGAGGACGTGTTGTCGGAAAAAGAGTAAGAAGCGACCCGCGTTGTCATCAACCGAACGACGATGCCTTTCAACCATGCCAATGCACTCGGTGATATCAGCTAAACGGAATTGTTCGCGACTTGAAAGCAAGGGTATCTGCTTCTTAGTCAGAAGCTCCTTGAGATTTGACGCGACTTCTTCAGTAACAGCCTCTGGTTCGCTATCATCTGAGTAATCCATGTATGACGAGTGTATGTCTTTCTTGGATGCAGTCATTTGGGTCTACGCGTGTTAGTGATCATCTTATCGAATCCACCAGTACACATACCTGGTCTTCAGAGAAGTCCTCTGGGGCAAAACCCAAGGTACTGTCAAACTCCTCGCCCTCAATCCAGAACTTGAGCTTCTTGTAAAGAGATATCAAGATACGTTGTACTAATAGCAGCTTACCAGCCAACACGCATTGCGATAGCAGTTGGGGATGGTATGCCGGTAACGGGCCATTGAGACGGCTGACAGCTTCAAAGATGTCGATATGTGCAGTCTTGCGTGACAAAGTTCGTAAACTGGGGAAAAGACTGTCGGTTATTTCCACATGCTCATCTTGTATGAAGAGCTGGTTGCCCGCGCCTATGACGAGATTGCCGCTCCCTAGCCATACCGAGTCGCCGATTGGATGGGGAGTGATGTCTCGGATCCGCACGTCACCAATTTTTACCCAGGATGGACCTGCGTTCAGATAGTCGTATCGCAGCTGCGCGTAGATGACGACACGATGAGGGAAGCCGACAGCGAGGATAGACTGGTTATCTGGAGTGGAAGACCAATCAAGATCAGAGATGATGCCATTGCCTTCAAAGGTCTCCTGATGCTCAAGTTGCGCACTGCGGGTATTCCAGATGGTCAGTGTGGTCCGTTCAGCGTCAACCAGCGCGGCTTTTCGTATTGAAGTCCCACTGGCAAGCGAAGGGCTGTGTACCCCAGTATCCACCTCAGAGGTTAACAACCATTCAAGATCTCGCTTTTCAAGATTGACACGGGCAGTCCAAGACTTGATGACTCCCGACTTGGTGTACGAAATGGCAGTGTCTCGCGCAAACGCGTCAAGAAAACCGGAGATGACAGGTGCCGAGCCTGCAGGATCCACAGGCAATACGAATGCGAGGTCGTTGCCAGAGCCAAGATCGAAGATGGAAAATTGCTCGAGCGAAGCTGGTGCATGGCCATTTGTGTACCCGTTGGCATGTGTACCGTTGGATGAGTCTCTTCCAGTAGCCCGATCTCTTTCTAGTACTGGCAGTGTAACTTCCCAGCATATGCCTTTCATCTCAGAGCTGACTGTGGCAACGTGAACACGCCTCCCGTCGTGGTCAATCTCGGGAATGACCAAAAGACATAGGGGCCTCCCTTGTAGCTCGTAGGGACGCCGCATAACTTCGACAGCTTCGTGTCCGCGGGTATCCCATAACGAGATTTCTTTGTGATGTAGAAACACAAGGAAGTCGCCCTCTTGTAAAAGTGTAGTGCGGTGGATGTGCTCAGTGACGTTGATACTGCTGTGACGGTGAAGCGTCATGCCGTCGTCCCCCTGTCGGTGTATCCAAACTATGCACTCATCGGTAGTGGTGCGCGACACAAGAGCCTTTCCACTGGCAGTGCGATTGACTTTCTTGATAGCATGTGAGTGTCCTGTCCACATAGCCTTACGTTGCATGCGCTGTGGCTGCTGCGAAGGATCAAACAAGTAGTCGATACGCGCCTCCAGCCACTCCATGCGGCCGTCAAAGTGATGCGATAATATGGTCAGTTCGGACTCAGGCTTTTCGTCGATAAAGGCATAGAACTGCACATTGTCCTCGATGGGTTTGGGTTCCTTTGCAAAATGCATGCGCAGTCCATCAACGTGGGCAATATTGAAGACGTCAGTCACTTTCTTGCATTGGGCACCTACGTTTTCGAACCCCCATGCTGACATGTTGCCGCGATCGTCGAGCACAACGCAGATCTCCGGACTGCGGTTCGCGACCTCGATCAGGTGATGGAGCGCTATTCCGTGGTCCTTTTCCTGGGGCGAAGCCTGCTGCATTGCTCTTTCCGTCGCTTGTTTGAAGTGCTTGCCGTCAATGAAGAAAGCGTACCGCTTGCTCGACTGGCGGTCCAACGGTATGTGACGCTCCATGATGGCCTCCATCAGGTCCACCTCAGCCCACGTATGCATGCCGTCCACTCCGTGGTGTTCTCCAGGCACCCATACGCGCACTTTGTTGTCAGCGCATATTGTGTAGAGCACATTGTCGGCCAATTGCTCCTTGTGGAGCGGATACCGCCAGTGCAGGCCAGTGATTGCTTTGGGATGTGGGAGGTAGAAGTAGTCGAATCTCTGGTCTGCGGAACCAAAGGCTGTGCGACGCCATATCTTCAGTAGTCGGTCGTGCTGGCCGGTTGAAGCTATCAACTCGGCGTCGGGCGAGAAGTGGGCAAACTTGACGGGGTTGGCCAGCTGTTTGGACCATGTATGCTCAATTTCACCATGGGTATTGAACAAAGTCAGCGAAGCACTGCCAGCCAGAAGTTCATCAGGCATCCCCCATGAGAGAGTCGTGATAGTGTCGTCGGCATCGGGCAATGCCATGCTGCCTTGTAGCGACCACTGCAAACAACATCAGCAGCCATCCACACCCGTCACCTCGTGTTCCCACCTTAATAGCACCCTCATCCTGTCCGTACGGTCGGTATACATAAATGTGTCGCGTCGAGCATACGGCCAGCTTGCCCGTGGCCTCGTCTATTGCGACTGCCTCAAGCTCGAACTCGTCGTCAATGTAAAGCGTCTGCAGGACATGGCTGGGCCGGTCAAGAAGAATCAGGGCGTTGCCGGAGATGTAGGCCTAGTCATGAGTGGCGTCAGTCCCAATGCATGCAACAAGGCGGTGGTCTGGCGTACAATAATCTGGAAGCCCTCCCACAAGCCATGGGCAGCGGCCTGCAGCTTGGCCTGCGGGCGCCCAG